TTGGTTTTCGATTTTCCAATTTTCAGAATTTCCAAGTTTCTTTATTCAGATTTTCGATTTTCCACTTTTGCGATTTTAGATTTTTCGAATTTTTGTTTTTCCAATTTTTTGATTTTTCGATTTTTCTGTTCGTTTCAGTTTTTAGGCTTTGAAATTTATTTACTTTTCGATTTTTGAATTGTCGACTTTTAAGAGTTTTCAATATTATGTATTTTCGAATTTTCTGTTTTCCTATTTTTCGATTTTTGAATTTTCCATTTTTCGGTTTTTTGATTTTTCAATCTTGCAAATTTCCGATTTTTCAGATTTGTGAATTTCCGTTTTTTCGATCGACCTACGTATTATATCCATTGAATTTTCGATTTTCGGTTTTTCCATTTTTCAGTTTTGTATTTTCAGATTTTCTGTTTTTCGCATATCTGATTCATCAAATTTTCGATTTTTCGCCTTTTCGATTTTTCGATATTTGATTTTCGAATTTTCGATTGTTCAGTTTTCCATTCTTCAGCTTTTAGACTTCAATTTTTTTACTTTTCGATTTTCCGAATTTTCGAGTTTCAATTTTCAGATTTTTGATTTTTCGATTTTCCTTTTTAAATCTTTGAACTTTTCGGTTTTGATTTTTCGAATTTTTGATTTTTAATTTTTCCATTCTTCGGTTTTTAGACTTCAATTTTCTTTCTTTTAAATTTTTCGATATTCTGTTTTCCGCTTTTCAGAATTTTCGATTTTCAGTTTTCAGACTTTCGACCATTAGAATTTTGGATATTTCGGTTTTATGATTTTTCGATTTTTAGAAAATTCGAGTAGTCGAATTTTCGATTTTTCAATTCATCGATTTTTCTATGTTCAATTTTTCAATTTAAATTTTGCGATTTTCAATTTGTCCATTGTCGATTTTTAGAATTTTCGGTTTTTCAATTTTTCCATTCTCACCTTTTAGACTTCAATTTTGTTTCTTTCCGATTTTTTTTGGTTTTCGATTTTCCAATTTTCAGAATTTCCAAGTTTCTTTATTCAGACTTTCAATTTTCCACTTTTGCGATTTTAGATTTTTCGAATTTTTGCTTTTTCGATTTTTCTGTTCGTTTCAGTTTTTAGGCTTTGCAATTTTTTCTACTTTATATATTTTGATTATTTTAATTTCCGATTTTTTTAAATTTTTGTTTTTGATTTTTTTAATTTTCAGCATTACAAATTTGTGACTTTTCGATTTTTGAGGTTTGTGAATTTCCACTTTTCGATAGACCTCGGTATTTGATTCATTGAATTTTCGATTTTTTGGTTATTCATTTTTAGATTTTCGATTTTTACGATTTGTATTTTTCGATTTTCTGTTTTTTGCATTAGTGAATTTCAGTTTTTCCGATTTTCGATTTGCCGCATATTTGATTAATCAAATTTTCGAAAAAGTTACCATGCTTACAAAAACTTTAAAACATCTACAATATTTCAAAGTATTCAGTTTTGCTATTCTTGATTTCTTCAATAAAACAAATTGACTCAGTCATTAACTTTTTTGAGACACCCTGTATAACCAAATCTAAAAAAATATTAATGCAGTGATAAATCACAAGTATAAAAACTCATCATATTTTATACATTTAAGATAGGATAAAAATTAGCTTTTGGAAAAGTTGCCTAAAAATCCACAAAAAATTCTCAGAAATTGATTTCGACGAGCTGAATAGAAAATTACAGTGTGTTGATGACCCCAGACAAAAATTTTCTAAATATTCAGTTCCAAAGGCGAATTTTTAAAAAATTTCCAAAATTGACAAATCTTTTTCTGGCGATTTGGAAAAAACGGTAGGAATCTCCAGACTGAAGCCCAAATTAACTTCTAGACGTCGAAATCAACAAAAGATTTCTTTAGGTAATTTTCACAAATGTTCTGGAAAATGTAAAAATTTCATGTGTCGAAAAAAATGAGTTTTTGGAAAAGTTGGCTTAAAACCCACAAAAAATTTTCAGACATGAATTTCGACGAGCTGAATCGAAAAATACAGCGTGTTGATGACCCCGGACGTAGAATTTCTAAACATTCGATTCTAAATTCAAATTTTTAAAAATTTCCAAAATTGGCAAATTTTGTTCTGCCGATTCTGGAAAAATGGTATGAATTTTCAAAGATTTGTTACCGAAATTAACTGAAGAATTAATTAAATGAACAAAAGAATTTGTTTAGGTAATTTTCAAAAATGTTCGGAAAAATGTCAAATTTCATATGTCGAAAAAATGAGTTTTTGGAAAAGTAGCGTAAAAGTCCAGAGAAAATTCTGGTAGATAACTTCTACGAGTTGAATCGAAAAAGACAGCATATTAATGATCTCGGACCAATATTTTTGAACATTCGGTTTCGAAGTCAAATTTTTTAAATCTTCCAAAAATTGACAATTTTTGTTTTGGCGATTCTGGAAAAATTGTGGCAATTTTCAAATACTTGAAGCCAAAAATAAGTTCTGGACGTTGAACCAACAAAACAATGTCCTTGGGTAATTTTCAAAATGCTCGGGAAAATATCAACATATGTCGAAATCAGGAACTTTTGGAAAAGTTGCTTAAAAATTAACAAAAAATTCTGGGAGATAATTTCTACGAGTTGAATCGAAAAAGACAGCGTATTAATGACCCCGGACCAACATTTTCTAAACATTCGGTTTCAAAGTCCATTTTTTTAAATTTTCAAAAATTGGCAAATTTTGTTTTGGCGATTCTGGAAAAATTGTAGCCATTTTCAAAGACTTACAGTCGAAAATAACTTCTGGACGTCGAAACCAACAAAAGAATTTCCTTAGGTAATTTTCAAAATGCTCGGGAAAATATCAAAATGTCGAAATAACGAACTTTTGGAAAAGTTGCTTAAAAATTCACAAAAAATTCTGGGAGATAATTTCTACGAGTTGAACAGAAAAAGACAGCGTATTGATGACTCCGGACCAACGTTTTCTAAATATTCGGTTTCAAAGTCCATTTTTTAAAATTTCCAAAAATTGGCAAATTTTGTTTTGGCGATTCTGGAAAAATTGTAGCCATTTTCAAAGACTTACAGTCGAAAATAACTTCTGGACGTCGAAACCAACAAAAGAATTTCCTTAGGTAATTTTAAAAATGCTTCGGAATTTTCGATTTTCAGTTTTCAGACTTTCGACCATTAGAATTTTGGATATTTCGGTTTTATGATTTTTCGATTTTTAGAAAATTTGAGTAGTGGAATTTTCGATTTTTCAATTCATCGATTTTTATATGTTCAATTTTTCAATTTAAATTTTGCGATTTTCAATTTGTCCATTGTCGATTTTTAGAATTTTCGGTTTTTCAATTTTTCCATTCTCACCTTTTAGACTTCAATTTTGTTTCTTTCCGATTTTTTGGTTTTCGATTTTCCAATTTTCAGAATTTCCAAGTTTCTTTATTCAGATTTTCGATTTTCCACTTTTGCGATTTTAGATTTTTCCAATTTTTGTTTTTCCAATTTTTTGCTTTTTCGATTTTTCTGTTCGTTTCAGTTTTTAGGCTTTGCAATTTTTTCTACTTTATATATTTTGATTATTTTAATTTCCGATTTTTTTTAATTTTTGTTTTTGATTTTTTTAATTTTCAGTATTACAAATTTTTGACTTTTTTGAGGTTTGTGAATTTCCACTTTTCGATCGACCTCGGTATTTGATTCATTCAATTTTCGATTTTTTGGTTATACATTTTTAGATTTTCGAGTTTTACGATTTGTATTTTTCGATTTTCTGTTTTTTGCATTAGTGAATTTCAGTTTTTCCGATTTTCGATTTGCCGCATATTTGATTAATCAAATTTTCGAAAAAGTTACCATGCTTACGAAAAACTTTAAAACATCTACAATATTTCAAAGTATTCAGTTTTGCTATTCTTGATTTCTTCAATAAAACAAATTGACTCAGTCATTAACTTTTTTTGAGACACCCTGTATAACCAAATCTAAAAAATATTAATGCAGTGATAAATCACAAGTATAAAACTCATCATATTTTATACATTTAAGATAGGATTTATTCTGCAAAATTTTGACGTGACGTCATAAATTTTTTAGAGGGGATAAGCAAATATATTTTAATAAAAAATGTATCATGTTTATCATGACTTTAAAACATCTGCAAGATTTCAAAGTATTCGATTTTGCAAATTCAAAATTAAATTGCAAAATATTGTTTTATAATTTTGATTTTTTTTGCAAAAATCTGGACGTTTCGGATAAAAATTCAACACGGAGTCATAAACTACATGTGTAGGACTATGTTACTGTATACAATTTAAAACCCATTTACTATGCATAAATTTGAAGTGACGTCATCACATTATTGGTGGGGATGATTAGACAAATTTAATAATTTTGCGACATTTATGAAAAAAATATCAGTTAACAAAAATGGCACGTTTTTATTATTATGCCAGTTACATGTCACTCAACGACGATATCGTTTTTTTTTAAGAGTATTTTATTTGAAAAAGTGATGAAATTTTTTATACGGAACAATTGGTCGAAAGATGTTAGAAAGCAAAATCGCCAGTTTTCCAAACTCTCCCACACGTGATTCGTTCGTACCACTTCATCGACGATATGCCTCAAGGTAATCGTCGATGTTTACTTTGTGCAACAAATTAATTGTAATAATTTAAAATTTCTCCTGTAATTCTCGTGCGTGAATCATAGTAAAGTCATTGACTGTTTTCGGCGTTCTTAGTAGGTCAATATGTTAACCAACCATCATCACTTTAAATCCCGTTAGTTTTAATGTAGGCAGCCACTTTATGTTAATTTTCTCCATTAGCACTGACATAATTCATCCAGGTACTACCAACAAGGAAAAATCCTTCCGTAAATAGTTAGTCGGAGGTAGTACCACTTAATCCATGCAACCCATCACTAAACCTACTTAGAATTTTAAATTGACGTTGTATATAAGCTCATCACTATGTCTGCATGCAAGATTGTCAGTCGCGATATAACGAATCCTTTGTTCTAGATGTCCGTTAGCACGATCAGTACCGGACCAAGACATTTCCGACGCTCCCCAAGCTCGATTTTATCGTCCGATTCGGATATCCGTTTCACACGAAAAAAACTGACCTCACAGACCAGATGCGGCTGTTGCATTATCGCTACTTTCCTTCTACTTCTGCTGGTGGCAGCTGCCGCAGTCTACATAGCTTGTGAGTACTAATATTACGTAGCCAATATGTGGAGCGTTAAGAAATAATAAATATTTATACGCAATTATTTACATTGTTAACTGTATTGTGTTTTACCGGCCTTGACTGACACTCCTCTTTACGCTAAAGAATGCTTTCTACGGAAGGAATGCTTTTCCAGATACGTACTTCATGCCAGAAGCGCCTCCAGAGCAGGTGTTTCGGGCCACGTTTCGGGTAATCAAAGGAGACGCGTTCTCCCCGGAACTAACCGACACCAACACCGTCAGATTCAAAAATAGGTCAAGGAACTACAGCGAGAGACTAAATCTTCTGTTCAGGAGAAGCCCAGTGAGCCACGGTTTCGTAGGGACCGAAGTACTAGCTCTCGACGGGTACTTAAATCATAATCGCGAAAATAATATACGTTGCTCATTTTCCGGTTTTAGCACTGAAGGTAAAGACCTCGTGGTTCACTTCGACATCCACATCGACCCTTCCTACACCATCGTGCAAGCGAAAGACGTGGAAAAAATCCTAGCCAAAGAAATCACCCTCGACGAGTCCCTTTTTTTCCAAAACCTCACCATCGACGCTACTAGTTTGGAAGTGAAATCCGTCGACGTTCTCCTTACGAGTACCACCACATCTTCACCTTCCACCGTCACGTCGCAACCCGTCACCCAAACGCCGCCTCCCCCACGCCGATGCTTCCCCCTCCAGCTCCCCTACTGCTCCAAACTCCCCTACAACATCACCACCTACCCTAACTTGATGAACCACCGCAACCTCAAGGAGGTGAAAGACGACGTGATCACGTTTCGGGAACTCGTCGATGCGGAATGCTACCGACACGCCTACGACTTTGTGTGTCAGATTTTGCAGCCGTCGTGTGTGACGGGCGACGACGAGGACGAGATGATCCTTCCGTGCAGGAGTTTCTGCAGGGATTTCATGGCCGGCTGCGGCGGCCGCTTGTCGGAAAAAGTTAAGGAACTGATCGACTGCAGCAAGTTTCCGGAAATAAGGTGTGCGGCGAAACCAGGTAGGAGAGCGTTACGGTGAGAGGTGCGTAGTAACGGGGTTTTTTTGCTAGGTTGTGTCGAGGAACTGCAGGCACGTGCACTGTCGCCACGTGTTTGCGATGGCGTGATTGATTGTCAGGATTTATCGGACGAGAAAACGTGCACGTACTGCTCGAAGGGCTTCTTGCATTGCGGGAATGGGAGGAAGTGCGTGCGGAAGGAGCAGAGGTGCGACGGGACGGAGGATTGTCCGGACGGGAGCGACGAGAGGGCGTGCCGTAAGTGTCTAAGTTGCTGTTCCCGCTGACGCTGCTTTTAGGGCTGTAAATTGTCATTTATAAACTCCGTTGCCAAGGTGCCGTCAAATTTTGGCAGATTTAAGTTGATTACTACCAAAATTTACTATTATTTTAGACATGTTTTAAGTTTCTTGTTGTCGCAATAAGTCTGCACATATTAAGAAAAAAAGGCAAAATGTAGCCCCGCCCACCCACCCTATCTAAATTGTGATGATTTTTTTTATTCGTCGTGAGCCAAGAGGGCGGAGCTTAACTGCAAAAACCGTATTTTTCTACGAGAAATTAAAAAAATGTTTTTGAGTATCGTGTTGTTCTGTAGGTAAGCGAAGAAAAATCTTGCTTCTCCGGTGGGAATCGAACCGCACGTTTATCGCTTGCCGGGCGGGTGCCCTTACCACTAGACTACGGAGCAGCTTATCTTTCTTCGTTTAGTACTACGTATTATTGTGCCGCCACAGTTCAAAGAATACTTTGTATATTAAGAAAAAAATAAAGCCAAAGATTAGGCCTCAACCATACCTGCCCTGATCTAAGTTGTAATGAAATTTTCATTCATTGGTACACATAGGGACGGAGTCTAATTGCAAAATCCATATTTCCTTACAAAAATTTACCATTTTAAATGTGTTTTAAGTTTCTAAGAAAAAAATTCACCACAATAGAGATGGGGTGGGTGGGCGGGCTTTATATTCTGGCTTTTTTTCTTAATATACATGTTATTTTTTGAGCAACCCGGTACTCAAAAACATATTTTTAATTTATTGTAAAGAGAATGAGAGAGAGAGAGTGATAAACAGGAGAATGAGAGAGAGTGACAAATGGGAGAATGAGAGAGAGTGATAAATGGGAGAATGTCTCTTTTTTTCTCTATTTTTCGATTATTCGGTATATATTTTTAATTTTTCAATTTTGTTTTTTTTCTTGGTCTTTTCATGTTTCGATTTCTTAATGTTGATTCGATTTTTCGATTTCGCTGTTTTCCGATTTTTAAACTTTTCAATCTTTATTTTGTTATATTTTCTAATTTTTCAATTTCACGATTTATCGATTGTTTTGATGCTTCAACTTTTCGATTCTTTCAAATTTCGTTTCCTCGGTTTTCCGATATTATTCAGTTTTAGGATTTTTTAATTTTTTTATTCTTCAGTGTTTCGATTCCTCACTTTTTCCAATTTTCAGATTTTTCATTTTTGGCTTTTCTAAGTTGTTGTATCGATTTTCGAGCTTTCAATTTCTCCATTTTTCGATTTAAATTTTAAAATTTTTCGATATTTCCTTATACAAATTTTACACTTTAAACATATTTTAAGTTTCATGCTGTGAAAAGAATTCTACACATCTTAAAACAAAAACGCAAAATCTAAGCCCACCCACCCACCCTGTCTCAATTGTGATGATTTTTTTATTCGCCGTGAACCAAGGGGGCGGAGCTTAACTGCAAAATACTTATTTCTTTTCAAGAAAGTAAAAACATGTTTTTGAGCATGAATACTATGTATAAAATATCAACGCCGCCCACCCACCCCATCTTAATTGTGGTTATTTTTTTATTCTTAGACACTCAAAAATGAAAAATTTGTGTAAGGAAATATCGATTTTGCAATTAGGCTCCGCCCCATAATTGCAAAATCATATTTCCTTGCAAAAATGTACCACTTTAACCTTGTTTTAAGTTTCTTATTGTGAAAAAATGGCTATGGAAATTAAGAAAAAAAAAAAGAAAAATATAAGCCCCGCCCGCCCACCCTATCTTAATTCTACTGATTTTTTTTCATTTGTCGTAAGCCGAGGGACGGAACTTAATTGCAAAATCGATACTTTCTTACAAAAAATTTTAGGCATGTTTTATGTCTCTTGTTGTCAAAATAAGTCTACACATATTAAGAAATAAAGGCAAAATGTTGCCCCGCCCACCCGCCCTATCTTAATTGTGATGATTTTTTTTTATTCGTCGTGAGCCAAGGTGGCGGAGCTTAACTTAAAATCCTTATTTCTCTACGAGAAATTATAAACATGTTTTTAAGTATCGTGTTGTTCAAAGAATACTATGTATATAAAGCAAGAAATTAGGCCACACCCATACCCGCCCCGATCTCAATTCTCAATTGTGATGAATTTTTCATTCGTTGTCAGATCGAGGGGCGGAGCTTAGTTGCAAGATCCATATTGTCTACCAGAATTTACCATTTTAGACATGTTTTAAAAATTTTGTTCTATAAAGACGACTGCATATATTAAGAAAAAAGACGAAATATAAGCCCCGCCCACCCGCCTTGTGTCAATTGTGATGATTTTATTTAATCGTCGAGAGCCAAAGGAGCGGAATTTAATTGCAAAATCTATATTTCCTTACAAAAATTTACCATTTCAAATGTGTTTTAAGTTTCTAAGAAAAAAATTCACCACAAAAGAGATGGGGTGGGTGGGCGGGTTTTATATTTTGGCTTGTATTCTTAATATACATAGTATTTTTGAACAACCCGATACTCAAAAACATATTTTTAATTTCTTCTAAAGAAATAAGCATTTTGCAGCTAAGCTCCGCCCCCTTGATTCACGCCAAATAAAAAAAATCATCGCAATTGAGACAGGGTGGGTGGGCGGGCTTAAATTTTACCTTTTTGTTTTAACATGGGCAGACTTCTTTTTACAACATGAAACTTTTCGACATTTCCTTATACAAATTTTCCATTCTAAACATATTTTAAGTTTCATGTTGTGAAAAGAAGTCTACACATCTTAAAACAAAAAACAAAATCTAAGCCCGCCCACCCACCCTGTCTCAATTGTGATGATTTTCTTTATTGGCCGTGAACCAAAGGGGCGGAGCTTAACTGCAAAATACTTATTTCTTTACAAGACAGTAAAAACATGTTTTTGAGCATGAATACTATGTATATTAAGAAAAAAAAAAGGAAAATGTCAATGTTAGGCTCCGCCCCATATTTGCAAAATCCATATTTCCTTGCAAAAATGTACTATTTTAACGATGTTTTAAGTTTCTTGTTGTGAAAACATGGCTATAGAAATTAAGGAAAAAAAAAGCAAAATATAAACCCCGCCCACCCGCCCTATCTTAATTGTGATGATTTTTTTTTTATTCGTCGTGAGACAAGGTGGTGGAGCTTAACTGCAAAATCCTTATTTCTAATTTTTCATTCGTTGTCAGATCCAGGGGCGGGGCTTAATTGCAAGAGCCATATTTGTCTACAAGAATGTACCATTTTAAACATGTTTTAAGTTTCTTGTTGTGAAAAGATGGCTATGTATATTAAGAAAAAAAATACAAATGGCTCAATATTAGTCGACCTCATTATCTCTATCAAAATTCGATTTTCGTGGAATTAGTGCTGTCAACCAGAAAAATGTCGCCCCTACTTCAGGGGATGTTCCTTTAACTTATCGCAATTTGATTGGTTGAAATCCCAACGTCAACGGCAACGCAACGGAGAACAGCAACCTCAGCGACAAGCTTATAAACCGACCTTTGGAATGATCTTTTCTTGCGTTTATGCGTAAGCGGTTGGCGCCTACCGCGTACGCATAATTGCACTGTAAATTATAATAATTATAATTTTATTAATATCAGGACATCTACGGTTTGTCAAAAATAAATGCTACGTGCTAAACGTGAATCTTTCGATGTATAAACATAAACAATCGAAGTTAAGCATGTACACTAATGATAACACACTTTTCCCCGTTGCTTTTCGAATCGGCTGTCCTAGAATTTAAATGTTAACACCTCCTCGAACTCGCTCTTAAGTGATGTAATTCCAGTCAGCCTAACCCCGAACGTCGAAGATAGCAGAAAAGTCGAAATCGTGACACCGCACCTCACGCGCTACCATTCCGAAGGCTTCGTGGCTTTCAACGAAAAGGGCGAAATCGGAAAGTTGTGCACAGAAAATTTAAACCACAGCCTTCCGGTCAACCAAACCACCGAAGTACTACACACAGTAGCATCGTCGTTATGTAAAACCCTCAGCTACCAGTAAATTCACCCAAATTTTCCAGTCCCCTAACGAACTAATTGACTGTTTCCAGAAACATTTTATCAGTCCAAGTGGAAAAAGACCTAGAGCACAACATGTCTTACGTGAGCATGAAAGACCCCCTGGCGCCCGAAATAAGCTTCGTGCGCTCTCCGTGCTTCAGCAGACAAGTACTAAAAGTGGCTTGTTCCAATCTAGGTACTTCAAAAACAATAAAACAAAAAAACCAAAGTAATTGAGTTGTTTTTAGAGTGCGGCATCCAGACCGCCGCCCCTGCGGTTCTCCCCAAAATGGCCGCCCACGGCGACTGGCCTTGGCACGTCGCCCTCTTCAAAGAAGACGTCCACATCTGCGACGGCACTCTCGTCTCCCCCAGCTGGCTCGTGACCACGACGTCGTGCTTCCAGGGTCAGCCGAAAGCTGAGTGGACCGCGCGCTTCGGCTCGGTCCGCTTGCTTAGTGCTTCCCCCTGGGAGCAGGAGCGCCGGATCGTGGGTATGGTAAAGTCGCCAGTGGAAGGCAGCACCATAGCTATGGTGAAGTTGGACCAGAGCGTGATTTTTAACGACTTCGTGCGCCCGATTTGTCTCCCGGAGGATGTTCCTGGTGGCGAGACGGAATGCAACACTTTGGGGTGGGCTCGGAATCGCGAGCAATTACAGAGGGTGCAGGTGAAGACGGCCATGATGGAGAAGTGCGAGAATGTCAGTATTTCCACGGTGAATAGTTTGTGTACGGAGACGTACTATGGAAAAGACGATTGTAATGTAAGTAGAATTTTAATAATCGTGTTGTTGGAAGGGGTGGTGATTTTTGTGTTGTGGTAGGAGGAAGAGTTTGCCGGGAGTCCCATGATTTGTTTGAACCCCAAGGCGAAGAGTTGGACACTAGTGGGGATAAGTAATTGGAGGATTGCTTGTTCTAGTAATAGTGTGCAGAGGCCGAGGATGTATGATAAAGTGACGTCGAATGTGAATTGGATGCGGGAAACGATGAAAGCGAGCTCTTGAGGCTCGAGGAATCGGAATTATGTGCCAATTGTTGCGATTTAAGAGACTGAAATTAAGAGAAGACTCCGAGGGTGGGGAGTGACTTAAGTGTACTTATGTTAAGTATGTAGGATTTTTTTAACGTGTGATTACCTGTGGAAGAAATATTTTTGTAAAGTGATTTGTTTGGATTAAATTTTTTAGTGTTGTTACTAGTCATTATTTCAGTTTGATGCATAATAAAGGTTCAGTGTTCATGGTTTAAGTATTTTTCTAGTAAGTCGGCATTTTAGGACAGAGCCATCTGTGTTGTTATTTAGACACATATATTTCAATTTTCCGTTTAATTTTCACCACTATTCTTGATTTTATTCTATTCTATTCTGACATCTTTTTCCTTACTTACCGTACTTAAAAGACGACCAATTTGCCACCAATTTTCAACGAAATTTTCGAAATTTTACTTAATACATTATTTTTTTGTAGATTTCGGGCCGTAGAAGTCACTCCTGCTTTCATTTCTTCGATAAGTCCAATGGTTTTTCCAGATTCGTCCTTTGAAGTATGTAAAAATATGCAAAATCCACCCAATTTTCGACAATTTTCAACAAAATTTTCGAGATTTCACTAAATTTATTTTCTTGTAGATTTCGGGCCGCAGAAGTCATTCCCGCTTTCATTTCTTCGACAAGTCCAATGGTTTTTCCAGAATCGTCCTTTCAACAGTACAAATCTATTGCAAAATCCGACCTATTTTCGACCAATTTTCAACGAAATTTTCGAAATTTCACTTAATACATTTTTTTGTAGATTTCGGGCCGTAGAAATCACTCCCGCTTTCATTTTCTCGATAACTCCAATGGTTTTTCCAGAATCGTCTTTTGAACAGTAGAAATCTATGCAAAATCCGACTAATTTTCGACCAATTTTCAACGAAATTTTCAAAATTTCACATAATATATTTCCTTGTAGATTTCGGGCCGTAGAAATCACTCCCGCTTTCATTTCTTCGATAACTCCTATGGTTTTTCCAGAATCCTGCTTTGAACAGTACAAATCTATGCAAAATACGACCAATTTGGGACCAATTTTCAACGAAATTTTCGAAATTTCAGTTTATAAATTTTCTTGTAGATTTAGGGTCGTAGAAATCACTCCCGCTTTCATTCCTTCGATAATTCCAATGGTTTTTCCAGAATCCTCCTTTGAACACTACAAATCTATGCAAAATCCGACCAATTTTCAACGAAATTTTCGAAATTTCACTTAATACATTTTTTTTGTAGATTTCGGGCCTTAGAAATCACTCCCGCTTTCATTTCTTCGATAACTCCAATGGTTTTTCCAGAGTCCTCCTTTGAACAGTACAAATCTATGCAAAATACGACCAATTTGGGACCAATTTTTAACAAAATTTTCGAAATTTCAGTTAATAAATTTTCTTGTAGATTTCAGGCAGTAGAAGTCACTCCCGCTTTCATTTCTTCCATAACTTCAATGGTTTTTCCAGAGTCGAATTTTGAAAAGTACAAATCTATGCAAAATCCGATCAATTTTCGACCAATTTTCAACGAAATTTTCGAAATTTCACTTAATACATTTTTTTTGTAGATTTCGAGCCGTAGAAATCACTCCCGCTTTCATTTCTTCGATAACTCCAATGGTTTTTCCAGAATCGTCCTTTGAACAGTACAAATCTATGCAAAATCCGACCAATTTTCGACCAATTTTCAACGAAATTTTCGAAATTTCACATAATATATTTTCTTGTAGATTTCGGGCCGTAGAAATCACTCCCGGTTTCATTTCTTCGATAACTCCAATGGTTTTTCGCAGAATCCTCCTTTGAACACTACAAATCTATGCAAAATCCGACCAATTTTCAACGAAATTTTCGAAATTTCACTTAATACATTTTTTTGTAGATTTCGGGCCGTAGAAATCACTCCCGCTTTCATTTCTTCGATAACTCCAATGGTTTTTCCAGAATCCTCCTTTGAACAGTACAAATCTATGCAAAATACGACCAATTTGGGACCAATTTTCAACGAAATTTACGAAATTTCACTTAATACATTTTCTTGTAGATTTCGGGCCGTAGAAGTCACTCCCGCTTTCATTTCTTCGATAACTCCAATGGTTTTTCCAGAATCCTCCTTTGAACAGTACAAATCTATGCAAAATACGACCAATTTGGGACCAATTTTTAACAAAATTTTCGAAATTTCAGTTAATAAATTTTCTTGCAGATTTCAGGCAGTAGAAGTCACTCCCGCTTTCATTTCTTCGATAACTCCAATGGTTTTTCCAGAATCGACTTTTGAAAAGTACAAATCTATGCAAAATCCGACCATTTTCGACCAATTTTCAACGAAATTTTCGAAATTTCACTTAATACATTTTTTTGTAGATTTCGGGGCGTAGAAGTCACTCCCGCTTTCATTTCTTCGATAACTCCAATGGTTTTTCCAGAATCGTCCTTTGAACAGTACAAATCTATGCAAAATCCGACCAATTTTCGACCAATTTTCAACGAAATTTTCGAAATTTCACATAATATATTTTCTTGTAGATTTCGGGCCGTAGAAATCACTCCCGGTTTCATTTCTTCGATAACTCCAATGGTTTTTCCAGAATCCTCCTTTGAACACTACAAATCTATGCAAAATCCGACCAATTTTCAACAAAATTTTCGAAATTTCACTTAATACATTTTTTTGTAGATTTCGGGCCGTAGAAATCACTCCCGGTTTCATTTCTTCGATAACTCCAATGGTTTTTCCAGAATCCTCCTTTGAACACTACAAATCTATGCAAAATCCGACCAATTTTCAACGAAATTTTCGAAATTTCACTTAATACATTTTTTTTTGTAGATTTCGGGCCTTAGAAATCACTCCCGCTTTCATTTCTTCGATAACTCCAATGGTTTTTCCAGAGTCCTCCTTTGAACAGTACAAATCTATGCAAAATACGACCAATTTGGGACCAATTTTTAACAAAATTTTCGAAATTTCAGTTAATAAATTTTCTTGTAGATTTCAGGCAGTAGAAGTCACTCCCGCTTTCATTTCTTCCATAACTTCAATGGTTTTTCCAGAGTCGAATTTTGAAAAGTACAAATCTATGCAAAATCCGATCAATTTTCGACCAATTTTCAACGAAATTTTCGAAATTTCACTTAATACATTTTTTTTTGTAGATTTCGAGCCGTAGAAATCACTCCCGCTTTCATTTCTTCGATAACTCCAATGGTTTTTCCAGAATCGTCCTTTGAACAGTACAAATCTATGCAAAATCCGACCAATTTTCGACCAATTTTCAACGAAATTTTCGAAATTTCACATAATATATTTTCTTGTAGATTTCGGGCCGTAGAAATCACTCCCGGTTTCATTTCTTCGATAACTCCAATGGTTTTTCGCAGAATCCTCCTTTGAACACTACAAATCTATGCAAAATCCGACCAATTTTCAACGAAATTTTCGAAATTTCACTTAATACATTTTTTTGTAGATTTCGGGCCGTAGAAATCACTCCCGCTTTCATTTCTTCGATAACTCCAATTGTTTTTCCAGAATCCTCCTTTGAACAGTACAAATCTATGCAAAATACGACCAATTTGGGACCAATTTTTAATAAAATTTTCGAAATTTCAGTTAATAAATTTTCTTGTAGATTTCAGGCAGTAGAAGTCACTCCCGCTTTTATTTCTTCCATAACTCCAATGGTTTTTCCAGAGTCGACTTTTGAAAAGTACAAATCTATGTAAAATCCGACCAATTTTCGACCAATTTTCAACGAAATTTTCGAAATTTCACTTAATACATTTTTTTGTAGATTTCGAGCCGTAGAAATCACTCCCGCTTTCATTTCTTCGATAACTCCAATGGTTTTTCCAGAATCGTCCTTTGAACAGTACAAATCTATGCAAAATCCGACCAATTTTCGACCAATTTTCAACGAAATTTTCGAAATTTCACATAATATATTTTCTTGTAGATTTCGGGCCGTAGAAATCACTCCCGGTTTCATTTCTTCGATAACTCCAATGGTTTTTCCAGAATCCTCCTTTGAACACTACAAATCTATGCAAAATCCGACCAATTTTCAACAAAATTTTCGAAATTTCACTTAATACATTTTTTTGTAGATTTCGGGCCGTAGAAATCACTCCCGGTTTCATTTCTTCGATAACTCCAATGGTTTTTCCAGAATCCTCCTTTGAACACTACAAATCTATGCAAAATCCGACCAATTTTCAACAAAATTTTCGAAATTTCACTTAATACATTTTTTTGTAGATTTCGAGCCGTAGAAATCACTCCCGCTTTCATTTCTTCGATAACTCCAATGGTTTTTCCAGAATCGTCCTTTGAACAGTACAAATCTATGCAAAATCCGACCAATTTTCGACCAATTTTCAACGAAATTTTCGAAATTTCACATAATATATTTTCTTGTAGATTTCGAGCCGTAGAAATCACTCCCGCTTTCATTTCTTCGATAACTCCAATGGTTTTTCCAGAATCGTCCTTTGAACAGTACAAATCTATGCAAAATCCGACCTATTTTCGACCAATTTTCAACGAAATTTTCGAAATTTCACTTAATACATTTTCTTGTAGATTTCGGGCCGTAGAAGTCACTCCCGCTTTCATTTCTTCCATAAATCCAATGGTTTTTCCAGAATCGACTTCTGAAAAGTACAAATCTACGCAAAATCCGACCAATTTTCGACCAATTTTCAACGAAATTTTCGAAATTTCACTAAGTAAATTTTCTTGTAGATTTCCGGCCGTAGAAGTCACTCCCGCTTTCATTTCTCCGATAACTCCAATGATTTTTCCGGAATCGTCCTTTGAACAGTACAAATCTATGCAAAATACGACCAATTTGCGACCAATTTTCAACGAAATTTTCGCTATACCTACTATGAATTTAAAAAATGTAAATGTAATTCGTAATCTAATACACCCTATCTCAATTATTCCTTTACAAGAAATTAAAAACATGTTTTTGAGTATTGTGTTGTTCAAAGAATACTAAGTATATAAAAAAAAGGAAAATATTAACCCCGCCCACCCACCCCATCTCAATTGTGATGATTTTTTTATTCTTAGAAACTTATTACACATTTAAAATGGTAAATTTTTGTAAGGAAATATAAATTTTGTTGAGTAGTTATATTTTTACGGGAAACTTAAACCATGTTGAAAGTGGTAAAATTGCATAATATCGATTTTGCAATTACAACAAAAAGACAAAATTTCATTAAGGTTATACAGATTTCTACAATACCGAATAAAATTTCGCCTGAGTTCGATGTCAGCGCCATCTGCTCAAAAGTAAATTACTAGTTTTTTAAATAATAGTCAAGGGAAGATATTCTATGTTCTATAACACTTCTTGACTCTTGTTGATGTGCTGTGGACACTACTTCGATAACAGAGAATTTTATCAAACTTGTGTGATAATTGACATGTTAAATAAACAAGAATTATTATTACCAAATTTTGATTAATTTCTAGGTAAGAAAATTTCTCCGTTTACTTAATTTAAGTCGCAATGCGTATTGATAGACACTGACAGTATTTGTCGAGGTTATTGCAGAAAATGCTACAATTACCAGGCCAAGGTCACTGCTAATTTAAGGCACATCATTATCATTAATTGTGGCAATAAATTTATGCGATATCAACGTTATCGGTATTCGAGCAAATTTATCATAATTAATGAAATCATAATCAATAAATTTGAGGTTATATTTTTATATCTAAGCGAGTGACAGTTCTAGTCGTACAGTCGGTGAAATTATCGATGTACAATCACGGAAAAAATTAAGCTTGACCTTGGCATATTTTATAGATTGCGCATGCGCTTTAAATTTCACCCAAACAAATAAAACCGCGAATCATTAAATTTTAAACAAAATACATAGTATGACGGAATCGTCCGATTTATCTTTCATCGAACTAAAAAATCCCACAAATCCGGCTACATTATTTCATGAATGGATAAACGAAGCGAAGCAGTGTGGTGCGAAACCATCTTTGATGAATCTGGCAACAGCCACAAGGTAAGTTTTCGTGTGAAATGAATAATGAAAAATTCGGTTTATTAAAGAAATGGGAAAGTGAGCAATCGAACAATGGTTATAAGGGAGATAATGTCTGACGCGTCTTTAGTTTTTATGGCACAGGCCAAAAGTAACAAAATTAAGGAAATTGTAAGTGATAAAATTTCGTCACATCGTCTTTAGTGTCTGCCATTTTAGAACGAAAACCCTCAAGTGGCAGCCACAATTCTGTTAATGTATGTGGATAACAATGAAAATATATCCAGACAAGTGAGTATTTACGTACAATTAAAATTACCAAATAGTGAAACTTCATTACTTTGTCCAGGTAAGAATTGTAGGAAACGCAGAAACGCTCCCACAAGACCAGTGCATAATTTATTTCGAAAAAGATAGTCTTCCGGCGAAAATACGGTCCTGGATTTGTCAAGAGTGTAAACCAACGGACTGGAATGAACTAAAAACTAAACACGATGAGTTGTTAAAAGAGGTCAAAGAAAATAAAAGAGTATTAGAGGCCCCGGATACTCTGTAAGTGCGATTATTAAACTACTACGGACTTGGTAGTGGTTGGGGGTTCTAGGGTAGCTTACAAGATTATTCCAAGTGAAATGGAATTTTATTCCTCTGTGGGGAACACAATTGCCGATCGAATTTTGTTTACGAAAGAGGAAAGTGGCCAATGGAAGCACGAACGGTTAATGACGTGAAATTTGAATGTAAATATGAATTGAAATAAAACATGCACAAAAATAATGGTGGTTTTCCTAGTGTAATCCCTCGATAGCCAGTTCAAACCAACAACAACTTACTATATATTTTTTTAATTTTCACAGGTGCGCAATATCGATAGTCGTAGTCAATGGCTAGAATTAAAAACGTTTTTAGATTATTCTCCAGGATGCAGCCACTCTCAGACTTATCGTACATAGACGTCAAGAACGCCTCAAACCCAGCTAACTTACTTCACGAATGGGTCGAAGAAGCACGAAGCTGCGGCAAACCACCATTCGTTATGACTTTAGCCACCGCTACGAAGTAAGTGACACCAGTCCAACTTAAATCCCTATTTTTGTTTTTTACGAGGAACGGTGAAGTCAGCAGCAGGAGCGTCGTCATCAGAGAAATAACCCCCGATGGATATTTAACTTTCACGACTCAAACCCACAGCGAAAAGAAACGCAACATTGTAATAAACAAATCTCTACATTTAATTTAATTTATTGTTATTTTTTGTAATCAGACGGAAAACCCCAACGTGGCTGCCACTATTTTAATGAATTATGACAACAATAACACGAATGTCGTCAGACAGGTGAGACAAATAATCAGTTTTGACACAAAGCTTTAGATAAATTTTGTCGGGATGGCACAAACCCTTCCTCACGAAAAATGCAAAGCTTACTTTGACACTCATAAGCTCCCGGCCAAAATCCGGTCCTGGATTGCCCAAGAGGGTACAGCCGTTGACTGGAACGAATTAAAAGTCAGGCACGACGAGGTACTAAAGGAAGTGGTGGAAGACGGAAAGGTGCTCGAAATGCCAGACAGCGTGTAAGCTTTTGAGCACACTTTAGAAAGTTTTAGGGTCAATTTTTTTGTAGGGTTGGCTACAAAATTGTCCCGCGGAAAGTGGATTTTTACTACTGCTTGCCGGACAAAATCGGGGACAGAGTTGTGTTCCAGCGGGACGAAACCGGGCGATGGAAGTACGAAAGAGTGATGCCTTAATTGCTAAAACAAAACTCAAGATAGTTTTATATTTTTAAAAAATATGTAACTAATCAGTTTGTGGTATTGGAATAAAAAAAAATTGGTCTAAAGAGTTTAGACAGTACTTCCCTCGCTGTCGGAAACTTGACGACTGCATGCCTATTGTGTTTTTTTTCTCATTACATTTTTGTAGTGGGAATTTAAAAAAAAATTGCGATGACGTCATCAACATTTTTGCAAGGACACGTATATCAGTTGGAATAGATGTAGTGTAATACTAAGAATAAAATTATTATATTCTCAAATTTTCGGGAAAATGAATTGGGTCGTTTGAATATTGATTTGTAATAATCAATAAAATAACGAAACAATTTACTCACGTATACCTACGTATCAGAGGCAACTGAAAATCGTGTATGTATAAACATTCTTAATTTAAGATGACAGGCGTAACAGCATACGTGAGAGTCAAACAGAGAAACTGTAAACAAAACGACCATCGGTTTTATTGCTTCGACTTCCGCTTATTATATAAAACATTGGGTTTTATTTTAATTCTTGACGGTGAAATTCACAATTGGTTGATTATAAACATGTCTATTTCACATTCGCGGAACCAAGTGAACGCATAAAACAAATGCAGGTCTGTAATGTTAAAGTCGATGTAAATAAGCGTGCTACCCTTATGTTTCAACCGAGTTTTTCCTTTAACAAATTTTGTGTCTACCAAATTGGGTTGGTTGGGGTGTAATACTAATAATAAGTGTTGCCTTTAATTTAATCAATAAAATAAATTGACTTCATTAATTTTTTTGAACCACCTCTTAAGAAAATCTAAAAAATATGAATGGAATGATAAATCACAAGTACAAACTCATCATATTTTTTGCATTTTAGATAGGATTTATTCAGCAAAATTTAAGGGTGACGTCATCAATTTTTTTAGGAGGGATGAACAAATACATTTTGAACAAAAGTTTACCATGCTTATAATAACTTTAAAATATTCCCAAGATTTCAAAGCATTCGGTTTTGTAATTCCTGATTAAATCGATAAAATAAATTCACGCCTTCATTAATTTTTTTGAGTCACCCTGCATATGCAAATCCAAAAATATGAATGGAATGATAAATCACAAGTACAGACTCATCATATTTTGTACATTTTAGATACGATTTATTCGGCAAACTTTTGAGCTGACGTCATCAGTTTTTTGTAGAAGATAACCAAATATATTTTGACTAAAAATTTATTATGCTCTTTATAACCTTAAAACATCTGCAAGATTTCAAAGCATTCGGTTTTGTAGTTCCTGATTAAATCAATAAAATAAATTTACGCATTCATTAATTTTTTTGAGTCACCCTGTATATGCAAATCGAAAAAATTTGAATGGAATGAAAATCACAAGAAGAGACTCACCATATTTTGTACATTTTAGATAGTATTTATTCAGCAAAATTTTGTGGTGACGTCATAAATTTTTTAGGGGGGACGACCAAATACGTTTTGATCAAAAATTTACCATGCTTATGATAATTTTAAAATATCTTCAAGATTTCGAAGCATTCGGTTTTGTAGTTCCTGAGTAAATCAGTAAAATAAATTTACGCTTTCATTTATTTTTTTTGAGTCACTCTGTATATGCAAATCCAAAAAATATGAATGGAGTGATAGATCACAAGTACAGACTCATCATATTTTGTACATTTTAGATATGATTTATTCCACAAACTTTTGAGCTGACGTCATCAAGTTTTTGGAGGGGATAAGCAAATATTTTTTGACTAAAGATTTATGATGCTCTTTATAGCCTTAAAACATCTGCAACATTTCAAAGCATTCTGGTTAGCAGATTAAAAATTAAATTTCAAAATGTTGTTTTATAATTTTGATTTTTTTTTCCAAAAATCTGGACGTTTCGGGTGAAAAGTCGATTCAGAGTTGTAAACTACATGTGTAGGACTATGTTATTTTAAACAATTGAAAACCCATTTACTATGTACAATTTTGAAGTGACGTCATCGCATTAGTGGTGGGGATGATTAGACAAATTTTGGTTAGCGTTTTACCATCTACATGATATTCTTAATATAAGTACAAAATTTCACAACAATCGGTCGAGTACTTTCGGAGATTATCTGTCTAATAAAATCCGGGACAACAGACGGACAGACGAACAGACGGACGGACAGACAGACGGAAATGGGAGACCTATTTCTTCGTCTTCTAGGGGTCATGAAAGATCGAGAAAACGTAAAAGTAGAGAGTCGGCCGACGGACTCGATTACAATACTTCCTTTGCTTACGCTCGGGAAGTAAAAATTCAAAAGTAACGTTGCTCGGTTTCACTGTAACACATGTCACCCAGTTTGTCAGCGTACGTCACACTTTAATTTTTTATTTACGTATAAAATAAACATCCACATGTCATAAAACCCCACCATGTTTACGAGGGTAAGTCTCACCGTGTTTCTTCCCCATCTAACACTTGTCCAGCTCTTCAAAATGTTCCTTCGGTTCGGATCAAGGCAGCCTTACAGGATCTCACGCATCGAACTGAAAAGCTCAAATCCTGCGTGTTTGTTGCTCGAGTGGTTAGAGCAAGCAGAGAAACGTGGAGCAAAAGCCAGAGCCATGAACTTAGCGACTGCGACAAAGTAATTAACATTAAAAAAATTCAAAAACCGTCATTTAAGTGCGTTACAGAAATGGCGAAGTCAGTAGTAGACACGTGGCAATTTCGGAAATCACAGACGACGCATCCATTGTCTTTACCAGTCAGAACTACACATCCAAGATAACAAATATTGTAAGGTTCGAGCGTCAATGGAAACAAATTGAGTTTTTTTTGTAGGAGGAAAATCCGCAAGTGGCTGCCACCATCTTGTTGCAGTACGAAGATTCCGGCGTAAACATTCTCAAACAGGTACGATTTTTTTGTCAGAAATGAAACACTACTCATTGTTTAGATCGTTTTGACGGGTAAAGCTGTGAAGCTTCCGCACGAAACGTGTAAAGAATACTTTACGAAAGTTATAACCGTTTCGCAACAGATCAGATACGTGCTGACAAAAAAAAGTGAATGGGTCGACTGCGACGAGTTTAACGAGGCACACGATACTTTATTGACAGATATTTCTACAAAGGGAACTAAACTTGAGATGCCTGATACGTTGTAAGACAATCCTGAAATGGTGACTTAAGTCAGTTAATTGTTTGTAGGGTTGCATACAAAATCGTCCCGCATACTTTAGATTTTTATTATATGTCCCAGCACAACATCGGCGACAGACTTGTCTTCACTCGAACTAACGACAACCAGTGGAAGTGTGTGAGAAAGCTGACGTAGTTACTTTAGCAGTATGATCAGTATAATCAGAATTATTACGACAAGAGCAACAAGAATGTAAATTTTAGTCTGCAATGAAACAAATTAAAACAATTTTTTTGTTGTTCGTAGCTACGTACTCGGAAAGACTTCTTTTTCTTATCGCGCGCCGAGTTCAAATCCACCGCACCAGCCCCCACGTACTCCGTCGCACTCTGCGCCTGAAACTCTATCCTGTCGACTAGTTCTTGCTGACTGTCGATTAAAATGGACATCTGCACGAAGAGGTCCCTCACTTCCACCAGCATTCGCTCGATATGTAGCAGCTGCTGGTGACGCTCCTCCACGTCCGCTAACACCCTCTTAGCTTCCGCGGTTTCCGCTAAAATCTAACGCTTTCACTCAAATCGTCCCACTCCCTCTACCAACCCACATTTTCCGTGAAAATCTGAATGTCCGTCCCGTCCTCCAGAAGCGACGTCACCTCTTCATCCGTCACTTGAAAGTACCCCTTGGCCACCAGCTGCGACTTAATCACCTGCTTCTGAATAGACTTATAGTTCTCCAGAAGTTGATTATTTTCAATGAAAGCTTTCTCGAAGCGCTTCTTCGACGTGGTGTACTGGATGGTTTTGATTCTCTTTTCTGTGGACTCGGTGCCGATTTGTTGCAGCTCTGTTTCCACTTCTTTCAGTTTCGGCGATATTTGTTGTGCGATGGTTGTGTTGTTTTGGAAAAGCGACCGCAGTTTTTCTTCGACGGCTAAAATTGAGGTTTAGTTTGGTTTTTTTGGGGGGGGGTGTGGGGCACCTTTTTGGTTGGATTTCATGTCCTCGATTTTGCGTAGGTGTATTCGGATGTCTTGGTTGTTGTTCTCGATTTGGACGATCCATTGGGCGATGGCGTCGGCCCTTTGGAACGTGTGACGTAGTTTTTGGGTGCCGCTTTCTGTGTTATCGTGGGTGTTGTTCTGTTTGGAGAAGGTGTAAGTGATAAGGTGTATTTAGATTGATCGTACTTACTAGCTCTATTTCGACTGGGGGGGTTTTGTTTTTTCCATTGTTATCTTTGAACTGGAATCTTAACGATACTAACAATAAAGTATTTATAAAATATGAAACTTACGTGTTTGAGTTCGTTGAGTCTATCTTTAACCATTGTATTTTATTTTTACGATAGCGACAACTCTTATCAGTGCTTCTCACACAAGGTTTTATGTGTGTGTAGCCAATGGTATTGTACGATAACAACTTGTACGCAATTTAGTGATAATTTTTTGGAGTTTTTCGATAGTTTGTTATGTCACTAGAGTGTTAGATTTGGCTATTATACAAAAAATTGTTAAGATTTAATGGTAACGACTTCTTTGTGTTGGTTTAAATGACTAAGAATTAAACAAACATCACTCCAGCAGCTGGTTAAACGACTTCTAGATCGATAATGGAAGAGGGAAAGCCAAGGACGGATTTTGAGTAAAAGTACAAATTTTCCGAATTTTTAGAACTCGTTATATTGGTAATTGCACCTTTGTAATGACGTTTCTAGAATGTTAGAAATGTAACAAGATGGTGGTTAATGTTCTTTCTGTCAATAAACATAAATTGTGTGTACCTAGCACTGATAAATTTTATCCCTGACATGTGGAAAATTTCTTGATGACAAATAGTTGTATACACAATAAACAGTAGGTATTTATAGTTTGGAACGCATATTTTCTCCTTATTGCCAAGAGTATGTGCAACTAAGTATTTAAAAAACTCGACGTTGGAGGAAACAGCGATCTTTCCATAACAGAAAATTAAGTCCTGCTTTATTTTACACGTTCTACATTTTCCTTAAAATCTTCACTTTACCATTTAGTGTACTTCCAAATTTTGAAACTTTCTTAATATTGGTAATCTTTCCACAACAAGAAACTTAAAACCTGGTAAATTTTCGTACAAAAATATATTTTAAAAAAGGCAAAACATAAGCCCCGCCCACCCACCCTCATCTCAATTCCGATGAATTTTTCATTCCTTGTCTGTCCGAGGGGCGGAGCGTAATTGCAAAATCCGTATTTGCTTACAAAAATTTTCCACTATTTTGCCTTTTTTTTTAAGTATACCTAATTTTCGTTTCATAACAAAAACTGAACACAGTTCAAAATGGTAAATTTTTGTAGGGAAATACTGATTTTGCAATTAAGCTCCACCCCCTGACACACGACGAATAAAAAAAATCGTTACAATTGGGGTGGGGTGGGTGGGCGGGCTTTATCATTTAACTTTTGTTTCTTTCATAATATTCGTAATCTTCTTTCCACAACAAGAAACTTGAAACATGGTAAAAATGGTAAATTTTCGTAGAGAAATATATTTAAAAAAGCCAAAATATAAGCCCCGCCCACCCGCCCTCGTCGCAATTCCGATGAATTTTTCATGCCTTGTCAGTCCGAGGGGCGGAGCGTAACTGCAAAATCCATATTTGCTTACAAAAATTCACTACTTTGGTAAAGTTTGATTGTGAAAAGAAGGCTACGTACAGTAAGAAAAACAAGGCAAAAGCAAGCCCCGCCCACCCGCTCAATCTCAACTGTGATGGGTTTTTTATACATGGGCGGGGCTTATATTTTGTCTTTTTTTTACGTGCACGTAATTTTCTTTTCATAACAAGAGACTGAAAGCAAGTTAAAAATGATAAATTTTTGTAGGGAAATACGGATTTTGTAATTAAACTCCACCCCCTTGACTGATGACGAATAAAAAAAAATCATCACAATTCAGGTGGGGTGGGTGGGCGGGGCTTATCTTTTGACTTTTGTTTCTTTCTTAATATTTGTAATCTTGTTTCCACAACAAAAAACATAAAACATGTAAAAATGGTAAAATTTTCGTAGAAATATATGTTTAAAAAGGGGCAAACTATAAGCCCCGCCCACCCACCCTCGTCTTAATTCCGATCAATTTTTTATTCCTTGCCATTCCGAGGGGCGGAGCGTAACTGTAAAGTCCATATTTGCTTATAAAAATTCACTACTTTGATAAAGTTTTAAGTCTTTAATTGTGAAAAGAAGGCTACGTACAGTAAGAAAAGCAAGGCAAAATGCAAGCCCCGCCCACCCGCCCTATCTCAACTGTGATGATTTTTTATATACATGGGCGGGGCTTATATTTTGTCTTTTTTTTAAGAACACGTAATTTTCTTTTCATAGCAAGAGACTGAAAACAAGTTCAAAATGGTAAATTTTTGTAGAGAAATACGGATTTTATAATTAAATTCCGCCCTCTTGACTGACGACGAATAAAAAAAATCATCACAATTGAGGTGGGGTGGGCGGGCGGGGCTTATCTTGACTTTTGTTTCTTTCTTAATATTTGTAGTCTTGTTTCCACAACAAGAAACGTAAAAGATGTAAAAATGGTAAAATTTTCGTAGAAAAATATGTTTAAAAAGGGGCAAACTATAAGCCCCGCCCACCCACCCTCGTCTTAATTCCGATCAATTTTTTATTCCTTGCCACTCCGAGGGGCGGAGCCTAACTGTAAAGTCCATATTTGCTTATAAAAATTCACTACTTTGATAAAGTTTTAAGTCTTTGATTGTGAAAAGAAGGCTACGTACAGTAAGAAAAACAAAGCAAAATGGAAGCCCCGCCCACCCACCCTATCTCAACTATGATGATTTTTTTTTATACATGGGCGGGGGTTATATTTTGTTTTTTTAAGTACACGTAATTTTCTTTTCATAGCAAAAGATTGAAAACAAGTTCAAAATGGTGAATTTTTGTAGAGAAATACGGATTTTATAATTAAATTCCGCCCTCTTGACTGACGACGAATAAAAAAAATCATTACAATTGAGGTGGGGTGGGTGGGCGGGGTTTCTCTTTTGACTTTTGTTTCATTATTAATATTTGTAATCTTGTTTCCACAACAAGAAACGTAAAGAATGTAAAAATGGTAAAATTTTCGTAGAAAAATATGTTTAAAAAGGGGCAAAATATAATTCTCTTTTGACTTTTGTTTCTTTATTAATATTTGTAATCTTGTTTCCACAACAAAAAACGTAAAAGATGTAAAAATGGTAAAATTTTCGTAGAAAAATATGTTTAAAAAGGGGCAAACTATAAGCCCCGCCCACCCGCCCTCGTCTTAATTCCGATGAATTTTTCATTCCTTGTCAGTCCGAGCGGCGGAGCGTAATTGCAAAATCCAGATTTGCTTACAAAAATTCAATACTTTGAAAAAATTTTAAGTCTTTGGTTGTGAAAAGAAGGCTACGTACAGTAAGAAAAACAAAGCAAAATGGAAGCCCCGCCCACCTGCCCTATCTCATCTGAGATGATTTTTTAATGCATTTATTTTAGTTATATTTTGCTATTTTGCCTTTTTTTAATTATACGTAATTTTCTTTCCATAACAAGAAACAAAAAACAAGATCAAAATGGTAAATTTTTGTTTGGAAATACGAATTTTGCAATTAAGCTCCGCCCCCTGGTTCACGAGGAATAAAAAACAATCATCACAATCGAGGTGAGGTGGGTGGGCGGGGCTTATCCTTTGACTTTTGTTGTTTCTTAATATTCGTAATCTTCTTTCCACAATAAGAAACTCGAAATATGGTAAAAATGATCAATTTTCGTAGAGAAATATGTTTAAAAACAAGCAAAAATATAAGGCCCGCCCACCCGCCCTCACCTCAATTCCGATGAATTTTTCATTCCTTGTCAATCCGAGGGGCGGAGCGTATTTGCAAAATCCATATTTCCTTACAAAAATTTACTGTGATAAAGTTTTAGGTCTTCGGTTGTGTAAAAAAAACTACGTACAGTAGGAAAAACAAGACAAAATTCAAGCCCCGCCCACCCACCGTATCTCAACTGTGATGATTTTTTTATACGTAATTTTCTTTTCATAAGAAGAAACTGAAACCAAGTTCAAAATGGGAAAATTTTGTAGGGAAATACGGATTTTGCAATTAAGCTCTGTCCCCTGGTTCACGATGAATAAAAAAAATCGTCACAATTGAGATCGGGTGGGTGGGCGGGGCTAATCTTTTGACTTTTGTTTCTTTCTTAATATTGGTAATCTTCTTTCCACAGCAAGAAACATAAAATATCGTAAAATGGTAAATTTTCGTAGAAAAATATATTTGAAAAAAGGGGCAAAATACAAACCCCGCCCACCCACCCTCATCTTAATTCCGATGAATTTTTCGTTCCTTGTCAGTCGGAGGGGCGGAGCGTAACTGTAAAATCCATATTTGCTTACAAAAATTCACTACTTTGATAAAGTTTTAAGTCTTTAATTGTGAAAAGAAGGCTACGTGCAGTAAGAAAAACAAGGCAAAATTCAAGCCCCGCCCACCCGCCCTATCTCAACTGAGATGTTTTTTATACATAGGCTTTTTGCTATTTTGCCTTTTTGTAATCAGACGTAATTTTCATTCTACAACAAGAAACAAAAAACAAGTTCAAAATGGTAAATTTTTGTATGGAAATACGAATTTTGCAATTAAGCTCCGCCCCCTGGCTCACGAGGATTAAAAAGCAATCATCACAATCGCGGTGGGGTAGGTGGGCGGGGCTTATCTTTTGACTTTTGTTGTTTCTTAATATTCGTAATCTTCTTTCCACAATAAGAAACTTGAAATAAGGTAAAAATGATAAATTTTCGTTGAGAAATATATTTTAAAACAAGCCAAAATATAAGCCCCGCCCACCCGCCCTCACCTCAATTCCGATGAATTTTTCATTCCTTGTCAGTCCGAGGGGTGGAGCGTAATTGCAAAATCCATATTTCCTTACAAAAATTTACTATGATAAAGTTTTAGATCTTCGGTTGGGTAAAGAAAACTACGTACAGTAGGAAAAACAAGACAAAATTCAAGCCCCGCCCATCCGCCCTATCTCAACTGTGATGATTTTTTATACGTAATTTTATTTTCATAATAAGAAATTGAAAGCAAGTTTAAAATGGGAAAATTGTGTAGGGAAATACGGATTTTGCAATTAAGCTCTGTCCCCTGGTTCACGATGATTAAAAAAATCATCACAATCGGGGTGGGGTGGATGGGCGGGGCAAATCTTTTGACTTTTGTTTCTTTCTTAATATTTGTAATCTTGTTTCCACAACAAAAAACGTAAAACATGTAAAAATGGTAAAATTTTCGTAGAAATATATGTTTAAAAAGGGGCAAACTATAAGCCCCGCCCACCCACCCTCGTCTTAATTCCGATGAATTTTTCATTCCTTGCCACTCAGAGGGGCGGAGCGTAACTGTAAAGTCCATATTTGCTTATAAAAATTTACTACTTTGATAAAGTTTTAAGTCTTTGTGAAAAGAAGGCTACGTACAGTAAGAAAAACAAAGCAAAATGGGAGCCCCGCCCACCCGCCCTATCTCAACTGTGATGATTTTTTTTATACATGGGCGGGGCTTATATTTTGTCGTTTTTTAAGTACACGTAATTTTCTTTTCATAGCAAGAGACTGAAAACAAGTTCAAAATCGTAAATTTTTGTAGAGAAATAAGGATTTTGTAATTAAATTCCGCCCTCTTGGCTGACGACGAATAAAAAAATCATCACAATTGAGGTGGGGTGGGTGGGCGGGGTTATCTTTGACTTTTTTCTTTCTTAATATTCGTAATCTTCTTTCCACAACAAAAAACTTAAAACATGGTAAAATTGTAAATTTTCGTAGAGAAATAAATATGTTTAATAAAAAGGCAAAATATAAACCCCGCCCACCCGCCCTCATCTCAATTCCGATAAATCTTTTATTCTTTGTTAGTTCAAGGGGCGGAGCGTAATTGCAAAATCCAGGTTTGCTTACAAAAATTCAATACTTTGATAAAGTTTTAAGTCTTTAATTGTGAAAAGAAGGCTACGTGCAGTAAGAAAAACAAGGCAAAATTCAAGCCCCACCCACTCGCCGTATCTCCACTGAGATGTTTTTTTTATACATAGGTTTTTTGCTATTTTGCGTTTTTTTAATTAGACGTAATTTTCTTTCCGTAACAAGAAACAAAAAACATGTTCAAAATGGTAAATTTTTGTATGGAAATACGGATTTTGCAATTAAGCTCCGCCCCCTGGCTCACGACGAATAAAAAACAATCATCACAATCAAGGTGGGGTGGGTGGGCGGGGCTTATCTTTTGACTTTTGGTGTTTCTTAATATTCGTAATCTTCTTTCCACAACAAGAAACTTGAAATATGATAAAAATGATAAATTTTCGTAGAGAAATATATTTAAAAACAAGCCAAAACATAAGCCACCCCCACCCGCCCTCGTCCCAATTCCGATGAATTTTTCATCATCCATATTTCCTTACAAAAATTTACTATGATAAAGTTGTAGGTCTTCGGTTGTGTAAAGAAAACTACGTACAGTAGGAAAAACAAGACAAAATTCAAGCCCCGCCCACCCGCCTTGTCTCAACTATGATGATTTTTTATACGTAATTTTCTTTTCATAATAAGAAACTGAAAGCAAGTTCAAAATGGTAAATTTTTGTATGGAAATGCGGATTTTGCAATTAAGCTCCGCCCCCTTGGCTGACGACGAATAAAAAAAATCATCACAATTGGGGTGGGGTGGGTGGGTGGGGCTAATCTTTTGACTTTTGTTTCTTTCTTAATATTGGTAATCTTTCCACAGCAAGAAACATAAAATGTCATAAAATGGTAAATTTTCGTAGAAAAATATATTTGAAAAAGGGGCAAACTATAAGCCCCGCCCACCCACCCTCATCTTAATTCCGATGAATTTTTCATTCCTTGTCAGTCGGAGGGGCGAAGCGTAATTACAAAATCTATATTTCGTTTCAAAAATTTACTACTTTGATAAAGTTTTAAGTCTGATTGTGTAAAGAAGACTACGTATTGTAAGAAAAACAAAACAAAATGCAAGCAACATATCATGAGATAAGGCGGGTGGGCGTCTTATCTCATGATATGTTGTTTTTTTATGCATGGGTAAAAAACAAGGTGAAAATGATACATTTTTGTAGGGAAATACGGATTTTGCAATTAAGCTCCGCCCTCTGGCTCACGACAAATTAAAAAATTCATCACAATTGAAGTGGGGTGGGTGGGCGGGGCCTATGTTTTGATTTTTGTTTCTTTCTTAACATTTGTAATCTTTTTTCCACAACAAGAAACTTACAACATGATAATAATGGTAAATTTTCGTAGAGAAATATATTAAATAAATGCAGGATATAAGATTTCCAAATTAAAAAATTGTCTCAAAGATTTTGAAAATCTCAAACCAAATTTTAAATTTTTCCAAAAACTTTAAAGTTACAAGTGACGCTCGAAATCTACAAACATTAAAACAAGATCTTCTGGTACTGCTTGAAAATGTTATTAACCTTGAGAATGAGAAGTACAAAAATTCTGGAAGTTTAGAAAATTCTCAGTCAGTCTTCAAAATTCCTGAAATCTGTACACTTCTAGACTGTTCTGTGGTTTCTAGACTTTGAATAACTAGACAATTTGTTGAAAATCTCTAGAATAACTCGATTTTGTTTAATAACGTAAGAAAAACTCCAAACGTTGTTTAAACTTTCCAAAATCTGTGGCACTGTTACATAACCATTTAATGTTTACCCAAATTGAGTTAAGGTAAAGAGAAAACTTCAGAATGCTTCAAAATAATGAATAGTTTGTTACATACCATCACTTGAATAAAATTCTAACAGCTGTGTTGCGTGTTTTTAGTTGTATTTTCAAAAACAAAAAATAAATCGTTAATAAAATGTAGCGTGGAAGTAGGTACTACACTGTGGAGTCATCACGGTCTGTCATTTTAGTTTTGACCAGTGGCGTATCATTTCCGAGGTGTGGTTCCGAAACAAATTATTTGAATAAAGTTCGAAGAGTCATAAACGAAATACGTCAAACTACGAACGAACCACAAAATAGAATGACAAATGCAGTTACCTCAGCCTAAATTCTAAAGTTTTCACCACTTTCGCCCGTCAAATAACCCACCCATTACCGCGCTAATGGCCCTACAGGTAAACCATGTGGGTGAACCCAGCGTCCATCGCAAAAATGATCTTTGTATCTCCCTACACAAGGCAGCCCACCATTCCACTATCACGGCATGGTGAGGGAACCGGTTAGTAAATAATTCCGATTCTGAATAATTCATTTCCAAAGTCAGCACCATCGTGAAGAGACGTACCGCGACCCGCACTCCCTTTTTTTCCATGCAGTAAGTACCAGTGCGTCGTCCAGTCGCCCAACGCATAAATTAGAGCCAATTTAACACCTCGCCAGCGTCACATCTCCGAGTTTACCGCAGCATTTTCGGCCAACAATGAAAAGTGAGAGCAAGAGCACGTGTTTTTTACTCCTCGAAGATGGTACCGTTCTACCTGGCGAACCCTTTGGGGCGAAAAACCAAGTCGACGGGGAAGTCGGTAAGCAACACGTGGTTGTTGGTTATGTTTTTAGAATGAGTAATATGTATTGGCAACCAATAATGCGGCTGTTATCGGTGTCGGGCGATCGTGGTAGTACCAGCTAATTGTTTAGACTAACTCGAGTGGTTTAAAAAGTCGCTCAAGTTCGACACATAAACAACACGATTAGAATATCAAGCGTCTAGAGTTTTTTAAATTAGTTGTTTATTAATTTGATACTGTCTGGAACATGCAGGCGGCTCGTTAATAAGAGTGATTGAGTCGTTCGAATTGACACAAGACAATTACGATCAATTAATTTATCAAGCTTTAATTTGTAAATTTTTCTTTGTTTACTATTTATACACAATAAAATGGTTTGTGTATGTTCTGTTTACGGTTTTAACAAGAAGTTAAATATTTGTGATGATTATTGCTTTTTAAATAAGTTTTTACTCGCTAGTGTTCCAGACCGGCATGGTGGGTTACCCCGAATCTCTAACCGACCCGAGCTACCACGCTCAAATCCTGGTACTAACGTACCCCCTCGTGGGCAATTACGGCGTTCCAGAGCCGCTGAAAGACCCCAACGGTTTACCCTAGTAAGTCAAACACACCCATATCCACCCATAATTAAAAAATATCTATAGTTTTTTCGAGTCGCACCAAATTTGGGCTTCTGGGCTTGTGGTGGGTGAGCACTGTGACACTCCCAGCCACTGGCGCAGCCTCCGAACCCTCTCCGAATGGATGAAAGCCGAAAACATTCCCGGTATCCAAGGAATCGATACCCGAGCTCTTACAAAAAAAATCCGGGAAAAGGGGACCATGTTGGGACGCATTGTGTATAGTCTCCCCATAGAAACCAACATTAAAATCGTGGACCCCAACACCCGAAACTTAGTCCAAGAGGTTTCGGTTAAGGTGAGTACCACCAGAACTGACTTACGAATTTGACTATCGTGGTTTAGAGAGTCGTCACGTACAACCCGAAAGGTTCCCCGAGGATTTGTGCAGTCGATTGTGGTCTAAAGTACAACCAAATTAGGTGCTTGGTTAGTAGAGGTGCTCGGGTTGATGTGGTACCGTGGAACCACAAACTCAACGTGAACGAGTACGACGGGCTTTTTTTGAGCAACGGACCTGGAGACCCAGCTATGTGTAAAACCACCATTGAGAACATCAAGGAAGTGATTAAAGGACCTGTGATTAAACCCATTTTTGGGATTTGTTTAGGGCACCAGTTGCTTTCGGTGGCTATCGGCTGCCACAGCTATAAAATGAAGTATGTTTGAACGACCACCAAAACCCATTTGACTGTTCTTATTGTAGGTACGGCAACCGCGGCCACAACCAACCCTGCATCCATCATGGTACCTCTCGGTGCTATATGACATCCCAGAATCACGGTTTTGCTATAAATACAGACATCCTTCCATCCGACTGGGAAATTCTGTTTACCAACGCCAACGATAAGACCAACGAAGGCATCATCCACTCGTCACTACCCTACTTTAGTGTGCAGTTCCACCCAGAACATACCGCAGGTCCTCAAGACCTTGAATGTCTCTTCGACGTGTTTCTCTCTCTTGTCCAAAACCACCAAAAGCAAGTTTCTGCTAAAGCTCTCCTAACCCACAAACTTACATTCTCTCTTCAACCACCACCTCTTGCCGAAAGACCCAAAAAAGTTTTAATTATCGGGTCTGGAGGTCTTTCTATAGGTCAAGCCGGTGAGTTCGACTACTCCGGTTCTCAAGCTATTAAAGCTCTCCGCGAAGAAAACATCCAAACCGTACTGATAAACCCCAATATTGCTACAGTTCAAACGTCCAAGGGTCTAGCCGATAAGGTGTACTTTCTCCCGTTGGTACCCGAGTACGTGGAACAGGTCATACGTGTGGAACGTCCAGGAGGTGTTCTTCTAACATTCGGGGGTCAAACGGGTCTCAATTGTGGTGTGGAGCTCGAAAGAGCGGGCATTTTTAAAAAATACAATATAAAGATTCTCGGGACACCAATTCAGGCTATCATTGATACAGAAGATCGGAAGATATTTAGTGAACGCATAGCTGCTATAGGGGAGAAGGTAGCACCCAGCATGGCTGCACACTCTGTGGAAGAGGCTCTAGAAGCCGCTGAACAACTCGGCTACCCTGTCATGGCACGGGCCGCCTTTTCCCTAGGTGGGTTAGGCTCGGGCTTCGCTGACAATAAAGACGAACTGAAGACTTTAGCCGTGCAAGCACTAGCCCACTCGAGCCAGTTAATCATCGACAAGTCTTTGAAAGGTTGGAAGGAAGTGGAGTACGAAGTAGTACGTGACGCTTTCGACAACTGCATCACCGTGTGCAACATGGAGAATGTAGACCCTTTGGGAATCCACACAGGAGAGTCAATAGTGGTAGCCCCCAGTCAAACCTTATCCAACAAAGACTACAACTTATTGCGTACCACCGCAATCAAAGTTATTAGGAACTTCGGCGTCGTGGGTGAGTGTAACATTCAGTACGCCGTTAACCCCAACGCTGAAGAGTACTACATCATCGAAGTCAACGCCCGGTTGTCACGCAGCTCCGCCTTAGCCAGTAAAGCCACAGGCTACCCTTTGGCGTACATCGCCGCTAAACTCGCCCTCGGAGTACCACTCCCCGCCATCAAAAACTCCGTCACTGGAGTCACCACCGCGTGCTTCGAACCCAGCTTGGACTACTGCGTGGTAAAAATCCCACGCTGGGACCTCCACAAGTTCTCGCGCGTGAGTACCAAAATCGGCAGCTCTATGAAAAGCGTAGGCGAAGTTATGGCCATCGGGCGCAAGTTCGAAGAAGCTTTCCAAAAGGCGCTTCGCATGGTCGACGAAAACGTGATGGGGTTCGACCCGTACTTGAAAGACGTGAACGACGAAGAGCTGGAGGAACCAACCGACAAAAGGATGTTTGTGGTGGCGGCGGCGCTCAAACAAGGGTACTCAGTCGACAAGTTGTACGACTTGACGAAAATAGACCGCTGGTTCTTGGAAAAAATGAAGAAGATTATTGATTGGACGAGTCTGCTGGAAACCATAGATCAGTCACACCTGTCGCACGATATTCTTCTCAAAGCCAAGCAGAACGGGTTTTCGGACAAGCAAATCGCGTCGTTTGTGAAGAGTACCGAGCTGGCGATTCGGAAGCAACGGGAGGAGTTCGGGATTAAGCCGTTTGTTAAACAGATTGATACTGTGGCGGCGGAGTGGCCCGCCACCACGAACTATCTCTATATCACGTATAATGCGACGTCGCACGACTTGTGTTTTGATGAAAAACACACCATGGTGATCGGTTCTGGGGTTTACCGAATCGGGAGTTCGGTGGAGTTTGATTGGTGCGCTGTTGGGTGTTTGCGCGAGCTGCGCAGACTCGGACGGAAGACCATCATGATCAACTATAACCCAGAAACGGTTAGTACCGACTACGACATGTCGGATCGTCTCTACTTTGAAGAAATCTCGTTCGAAGTAGTGATGGATATCTACACGATTGAAGACCCCGTGGGGATTATTTTATCAATGGGTGGCCAACTCCCGAACAACATCGCGATGGACTTGCATAGACAACAAGCTCGAATTTTGGGTACTTCGCCTGATTCGATCGACGGGGCAGAAAATCGCTTCAAGTTCTCGAGAATGTTGGACAAAATCGGCATCATGCAACCCCAGTGGAAAGAACTGACCAACCTAGAGTCAGCTATTGAGTTTTGCGAGAAAGTGGGGTACCCGTGCTTGGTACGACCGTCGTACGTGCTCAGTGGTGCTGCGATGAACGTGGCACACTCAAACCAAGACTTGAAGACGTACCTCAACGCGGCTAGCGACGTCAGTAAGGAGCACCCAGTGGTCATTTCCAAGTTTATTTTGGAGTCGAAGGAGATTGATGTGGATGCGGTTGCTTGCGACGGGGTTATTTTGTGTATGGCGGTGTCCGAACATGTGGAGAACGCAGGTGTGCACTCTGGAGACGCCACTCTGGTGACACCTCCTCAAGACATCAACGACGAAACGTTGACTAAGATCAAAGACATTTGTAAGAAAATCGCGGCGTCGTTGGAAGTGACGGGACCTTTCAACATGCAACTAATAGCGAAGGTACGACTTTAGTACTTGGTTGCTTTATTTAATAAATTGGGTTTCAGGATAACGATTTGAAGGTGATCGAGTGTAACGTGAGGGTGTCGCGGTCGTTTCCTTTTGTTTCTAAAACTTTGGACCACGATTTCGTGGCTATGGCCACTCGAGTGATAGTAGGGGAGATGGTACAACCCGTCGACGTACTCAACGGTTGTGGTAAAGTAGGCGTGAAAGTACCGCAGTTCTCGTTTTCGCGACTGGCCGGTGCCGACTTTATGTTGGGGGTGGAAATGGCTTCCACTGGAGAAGTGGCTTGTTTTGGCGACAACCGGTTCGAAGCTTACTTGAAGTCCATGATGAGCACCGGCTTTACAATCCCGGAAAAGTCCATCCTTTTGTCAATCGGTACTTTCAAGGTAAGTTTTCCAAAACACTCTACGTAACAATGACGCGTATATTTACAGCACAAAATGGAACTACTACCGAGCATGCGCGTTCTACAAAAAATGGGTTACAAGCTATACGCAAGTCTCGGTACTGCCGATTTTTACAACGAACACGGAGTGAAGGTAAGACTTAACACTAAAGACTAGAAAGTAATGATAACACGTAAAGAACCTTCCAACTACCCTACTGTCAATTCCATCGACGGTAAATTGACAAGATTCTTCTCCACGCTATCGTATTTCGATGGCATCAGAAAACCCTACAACGCTTCTTCTGATTTCCCCCGATTTCCGGCGATCCTCATTCGGGTAATTGTTCCTCAAGACGCTCGACCTCTTCAAATTACTCGGGTGCTTCTTGAGCTTCGTGAAATTATTAGGTACCGCCGTGTTGTTGTACGACTTGTTCAAGTTGTTCAAGTTGATGTTGTTCCCCTTCACCTGCTGGGTGAGTTCCCAGTTAGTGAACTGCAAGGAGTTGCGCTTGGGTGTGGACGGCGGGTGTTCAAACGACTCGCTAACCGATAACTTCTTCGAAGTGTCCTCTTCGCGCCTTATCACCTCCTGGAGTTCTCTAGCGTCGGCTTCCAAACCGGAATCTTCTAGAATTGTCGATAGGTACGTAGCTTGCTTCAGGTAGAACAAGGCTTGTCGTTGGGTCGCCAGTCTTCGACTCTTCCGCGCCATCTCGATGAAGTGTTTAATGAAAAACATGAGAAGGGCGCGCGTTTTGAACATGTCGAATTTGCCTTCGCATTGCCACTACAAGAAAAGCGTGAAATCTTCAATTGTGGTACCACCTTTGGTACTTACCTCGTAGTCGACCGAATCCACAGACCCTCGCTTTTCAACTTTGAGATTCTCGTCACGCATGTTCTCTTCCTTTTGTTTCTGAAGCACTTTCTCTCGGTTGATCTTCTCCTGTTTGATCTTCCACCGGATTTCTTTCTTGTAGTTGGTGTCGCCGTCGACTTTTGGTCGTCTGTTCTTCGGGATCATGTTCGGTGGACGCATATCCAAAATTCTAGGGTTAATCAATTGTGTAGAGGCCGCTGTGAGTATCGCGTAAAGTTCTTTAAAATCAATCTGTGGGTAGAATTTGGGACTGGTGTACCTCAGGTTTCGCAAAGCACCGATGAAATAAATAGCCGGGGACTCTAGAATGTCGTGGAAGACCTTCTGGGCGTGAGTTAGATGCTTGTTCGGAACGTTAAGGAATAAGTTCTTGCGTTTGATGAAGAAGTCGGGGAGGTGACTTTTGGATAATCGTTCCATGAAGTTTTTAATGACCATGACGAGTTTGCTACCGAGGCGATGTTCAGGCCAGTCTCGAGGGTTAGATTCGCACTCCCAATACAAATGAGTACGAATATGGTCAACAAGCAAACCGTCGTATTTTCGATTAACGGGCTCTATATATGACTTATAGAGCGTCAACAGGAAGGCGAATGCTCTGATTTGGGTGTGGGACATATGGGTGTCTAAATACCTCTGGGCTTTAGGAAAAGCGACCTCCCATTCAATCTCCGCGTCTTGGTTGTCGCCCCTCTTCGGTATGTACCCTCTGGGGATCAAGGCACAGTTCAAGCCCCGAATGTCATTGATCATGTTAACCTTAGGCCACCTATACTCCTCCCCGAACTTATCCCACATCGTGGGTCTTTCCGCTCTATCATGAAACTCAAACGTCAATTCAATCGGCCACTGGATCGCAATCGACGGAATAATCTCACAAGGCAGCAAACTAAGATCCTCGTCTACGTCCTGCAGGTTGCAGAAAATCTTCCCCGGAATCGCTTTCCCTAAATTAATCTCGGTAATATCGAACCCTAACGCTTGCCCTAACGAATTCGGGAACACGGCGTTCTGGAAATGCGTCATGAACCCATTCGACGATATGTAAGTCACGGTTTCAAACAACTCCTCTTTCACCGGCGGCTGAGTCAACTCCTCGTCGCCGTCGTCCTCCTCATCCTCCGAATCCCCCGCCCGCTCGTCGTACTTCTTCAACTTTCGTACCGTGAAGCACGTCCTCGGCAAGGTATCCCGTCTTTCGCAATTGGTTATATCCAGCGGCTTCGGCGTGTTCACGCTCGCGAACGTGCTATACTCGTAGATGTCGGAGTCGTCGGGTTTGCTGGACGGCCCGGCCACGGGTTCGAACTCCTGGGTCTGCTCCAGGTGGCCGATCTGTCTGGGCTGGCTCGGTGCGCATTTCAGCGTGACGAAACCTGAATTACGACATAGTAACGATAAGGATTGACGTTATCGCTTTGTGCGTACCTTGGTGGTGCTCCAAGTTTTCCATCACCACTTGATAGCTGGGTTTGTCGATGGCGCTGTACTGGGGGGTGTGCTTGGATTCTAAGACTTCGATGTTGTCGTTGACCACGAACATGCGTCTGGGGACGAGAGGCTCGACTTTGTTTTTGTTAGGGCCGTGGAGGCGGCGGAATTTCACGTTTTTGTTGATGTTTTCGAAGATGACGTCGGGGATGACGCACTCGATGGTTTCGTCGCGCAGGAGGCTGGGGTTGAGCTCGCGCTCGAGGGTGGTCCTGCTGGAGTGCATCAGTCTGATTTTTTCTCTGGAAGGAATGTGCTATTAATAGACGGTGACTGGGTTAGGGGAATTTGATTGATAGTAAAATTTTGAAAATTTGAGTGACCTTGCTCTTGAGTGTTACTCGAGGAAACAATCGCTACTTATTTAAATAGTGGGCGTTTACTTGAATATCACTCTTTTCGATAGTGCTTGCTTTGTTCGCTACGTAAAGACAAATCTGATATAAATATATTTTTCATTCGTCGAACGCTTGTTTCAAGTAATCGACAAAGTTTAAGTAGCGAAAAAATATCTGTTTTTTTTTGTAAACATAGCCCGATAATTAATAATCTTGTCTATCTTGTGTTAGGAGATAAATTTTACACGATTTTTTCTCCGGCTTAAGTGCATTTATCATCAGCACAATTATGCATGATTTGAGGAAAATAGTCACTTGAAATCAACGAAATTTATAATTGTCATTCAATTATCATTTATTATCAACCAGTGATTTTCCATAAATTTTTGATTTTAAAAATTATTATAAATTCCCTTTGGTAGCTCATTAAATGTCATCTGATCGAAAAAAAGCCCAGCGGTTGACATCGCAGTTATTTGACCGTAACTGTCAAATTGAAAAAAAAAGTATAATGAAATTTTGCCAGTGTAAACGAGCCTTAGTCATGTATCTCATTTTTAATCTTCTGAACCTGAAAATTTTCTTGTAAATTTTGACAGCCCGAAAAAATTTTGGCTAGGTGAAATGTTCTTGAACGAAAGTTAGTTATTCATAGCATCAATCATCAAACTGACGTCAGATATAATTTGCTGTTACAAAAGAGTTGAGTGTAATTGGGGCTTTAGCGCAACATCTGTCATTTATCACGCAACTGAAAAATATTCAGAATTACTTATTCACATTTAGAATATTTTGAAACCTGAAGTCGACATCTAATTACAAAAATAATGTTATTTATAAAAGAAAATTATTTGTGATGACTCATCAACATTTTTCCAAGGACATATATATGAACTTGGATTGATGCAGTGCAGGACTTATTAAGATAAGACTGATTGTGGCAAATTACGTACCCCATAAGAAAATAGAGGGCGGGTGGGCATAGCTAGTATTTGTTAAAATAAGATGCTTATAAAAGATTCTGTTGGAAAAAGTTAAATTTAGTCCCGCCCACCCACCCTCTCTCCATTCCAGTGAATACTCTTAATATTGTTTTTAGACTGATTTCGGTAAATGGCTGAACAATATTAAAAATAATCACTGGAATGAGGAGGGGGTGGGTGGGCGGGGCTACTGCTTGCTTATAAGATTCTACAGAAAAAAGTTAAATTTAGCCCCGCCCACCCACCCTCTCTTCATTCCAGTGATTACTCTTAATATTGTTTTAGACTGATTTTGATAAATAACTGAACAATATTAAGAATAATCACTGGAATGAAAACGGGGTGGGTGGGCGGGGCTATTACTTGCTTATAAAAGATTCTCTATGAAAAAGTAAAACTTAGCCCCGCCCACCCACCCGTTTTCTAATTTTTTTTAACAGCCTACATTCTATTAGTTCCCATTCTCATTTTACAAAATAGCATATAATTCACTTAGCCCACCAAGTGTGTGGCAAACGATATACCTCTTAAAAAAACGTGGGTGGGCGGGGCTAAAACTTGCTAAGCTAGCACTGAGCAATATTAAGAATAATCACTAGAATAGAGGGGGTGGGTAGGTGGGGCTATTGCTTGCTTATAAAAGATTCTGTGTGAAAAAGTAAAACTTAGCCCCGCCCACCCACCCGTTTTCTAATTTTTTAACAGCCTACATTCTATTAGTTGCTACTGCTTGCTCCTAAAACTAGAAAAAAGCTAAATTTGGTCCCGCCCACCTCCTTTCTCTATTTGACTGATTTATTTTATTTAGTATAAAATGTAAATTTTCTGGGAAAATGGAGTGAGCCGTTCCTGATTTAATCAATAAAATAAATTGATTAATTAATTAATTATTTTGAGCCACCTGTTTAAACGAATCTAAAAAATATGAATGCAATGACAATTGCAATTATAGACTGATCATATTTTGCAAAATTTTGAGTTGACGTCATCAATTTTTTGGAGAGGATATGCAAATATATTTTGATTAGAAAATTATAATGCTTATCATAACTTTAAAACATCTGCAAGATTTCAAAGCATTCGGTTTGGCAAATTCAAAATTAAATTGCAAAATATTGTTTTATAATTTTGATTTTTTTACCAAAAATCTGGATCGTTCGGGGAAAAACTCAAGACGGGATCATAAACTACATGTGTAGGACTATGTTATTTTATACAATTTAAAACCCAATTACTATGTGCAATTTTGAAGTGACGTCATCATATTATTTGTGGGGATGAGTGGACAAATTTTGTGGCAAATTACGTACCCCATAAGAAAATAGAGGGCGGCTGGGCATAGCTAGTATTTGTTAAAATAAGATGCTTATAAAAGATTCTGTAGGAAAAAAGTTAAATTTAGCCCCGCCCACCCACCTTCTCTCCATTCCAGTGAATACTCTTAATATTGTTTTTAGACTGACTTCGGTAAATGACTGAACAATATTAAAAATAATCACTGAAATGAGGAGGGGGTGGGTGGGCGGGGCTATTGCTTGCTTGTAAGATTCTACAGAAAAAAAGTTAAATTTAGCCCCGCCCACCCACCCTCTCTTCATTCCAGTGATTACTCTTAATACTGTTTTAGATTGATTTTGCTAAATGACTGAACAATATTAAGAATAATCACTGGAATGAAGACGGGGTGGGTGGGCGGGGCTATTACTTGCTTATAAAAGATTCTCTATGAAAAAGTAAAACTTAGCCCCGCCCACCCACCCGTTTTCTAATTTTTTAACAGCCTACATTCTATTAGTTCCCATTCTCATTTTACAAAATAACATATAATTCACCCCGCCCACCTATCCTTCCTCCATTTCAGTGATTCATTTTGTCTAATCCGAATGACAAGATTGAGTTTAGTAAATGACATACCCTCCAAGAAAATGGAGGAATAGTATCTGCTAAAATAAGATTGATTTTGGTAAATGACATGTTCTAAGAAAAAAAAAAAGGTGGGTGGGCGGGGCTAAAACTTGGTAAGCTAGCTCGAACTATTATTAAGTAGTCATTGGAACAAAGAAGGGGTGGGCGGGCGAGGCTACTGCTTGCTCATTAAACAAGTAAAAACTCATCATATTTTGCACATTTTGAGTAGAATGTATTCTGACAAAATTTTGAGCTGACGTCATCAATTTTTTGGAGAGGATATGCAAATATATTTCGATTAAAAGTTTATAATGGTTATCATAACTGTAAAACATCTGCAAGATTTCAAAGCATTCGGTTTGGCAAATTCAAAATTAAATTGCAAAATATTGTTTCATAATTTTTTTTTTTTTTCCAAAAAATCTTGATGTTTCGGGGAAAAACTCAACACGGAGTCATAAACTACATGTTATTTTATACAATTTAAAACCCAATTACTATGTACAATTTTGAAGTGACGTCATCATATTATTTGTGGGGATGAGTAGACAAATTTTGGTTAACGTTTCACCATCTACATGATATTCCTAATATAAATACAAAATTTGACAACATTTAACCTAGTACTTTTGGAGATTGATGATTAGTGAGCATCACTTGTAAATTTGACAGCGCGGAAGATTTCAAAACATAAAATTTGCGGTTATTTATAGAAAAGAAGAATTCGTTTCTTGTAGTCAGAAATGTCATTTATCTCGAAATTTTTCAACGCGCTGATTGACAATCGCAGAATTTTTTGTGATTTCTTATCAGCAAATGTACCTCTACTGATTAATGCTAAAAGTTAGTCACTCAAAGTTACCTGCTCAGATAAGATAATCAGAACTTTGACAAAAAGCACTTCGAGAATAAGTTAAAGTGAAGTATGACGAAGCTGGAAGAAGTGACCGATTTGTAGATAGAACTTTATATCAGATAAAATGTTTTCTTAATCATAAGTAAAATCTGGAATTTAAAAAATTTCGTTGAATCAACGTCGCTAAAATGTTTATTGCAGGCGAAGCAGAAACGTCATACTTAATAAAACTTATAGTGAAAATTAAAAAAATTCCTTTTGAAGGAAAATTCGTAAGATATTTAAAGCACTCATTATCGTCCCGACCTGTGACACTAAAAAAAAACCGTGTCAAAGTCAAGTACTAACCTAGTCCGTTCACCACCACAAGTAGTACCGTCGCACTTCCACTCACCTCTCAAAGTTCTCGAAAAACATCAGCGACATCAACAAGTTATTCAACACGAAAATCTGCGGCGTCTCCAGCAGCTCCTTCTTCAACTTGGCCACTTCCACATCGTCGTACTTTCTTTGCGACATCGCACCACCGTCGTTTTCGTTCGCCATCATCAAATCCAAGTCGAGGTGACTCTGTCTGTGGGTCTGATGGACCGACAGTCGCTTCTTCGGCTTGTCGCTTTCGTTGTCTTGCGAGTAACAATTGCCCATGTCTGAGACTCACACTCATATTAGTAGTACCTCTCCTCACATTTCAACCGACTCCTTATCTGACATTTTTGAAACGATACGACTGATTAGATAGGAAAATTTTAATTACTATTATTTTTTACAATGGGTTTAGGTGGAATCCGTGCAATGGACTTTCGAGAACATCGAAGCCATTACGAGTCAGGGCGAACTCAAACACTTGGCGGAGTTCTTGTCGAACAAGCAGTTCGACTTGGTGATTAACTTGCCGATGAGGGATGGGGGTGCTCGGAGGGTGTCTTCGTTCATGACGCACGGCTATAGAACCCGGAGACTGGCTATAGATTATTCGATCCCTCTCGTGACGGATGTTAAATGTGTTAAACTCCTGGTGGAGGCGCTACGACGGATCAGGAAAGCTCCCGCGATGAAAACCCACACGGATTGCATGTCGTCCAGACGTCTGGTGACCCTGCCGGGGTTAATTGACACTCATGTTCACGTCCGGGAACCTGGTGCCACTCATAAAGAGGACTACGCGTCGTGCACGGCAGCCGCTTTAGCGGGAGGCGTCACCATGATATGCGCCATGCCCAACACCAACCCGGCAGTCACAAATCCAGAAACGCTGACCCTAGTGAAGGGTTTAGCACAAAAGAGTGCCCGGTGTGACTACGCCCTCTTCGTAGGTGCCTCCTCCGACAACTATTCTAGTATTCCGGAGCTAGCCCGCGAAGTTGCCGGTCTCAAAATGTACCTAAACGAGACTTTCACTACGTTGCGTTTGAACGACTTGAATGTCTGGAGCAAACACTTGTCCAGTTGGCCGAAGAAAGCGCCTTTGTGTGTACACGCCGAAGGACAAACCACTGCAGCGATTATTCTTCTGGCGCGTCTACACAACCGGCCAATCCACATCTGCCACGTCGCTAGAAAAGAGGAAATCGAAATTATAAAAACCGCGAAAGAGCAAGGGTTTAGAATTACGTGTGAGGTGTGTCCGCACCACTTGTTTTTGTCGAGCGACGACATCAAAACTCTAGGGGTATGCAAGAGTCAAGTTAGACCTGTCTTGATGACTTTGGAAGACCAACAAGCTTTATGGGATAACCTCCACATTATAGATTGTTTTGCCACTGATCACGCCCCTCACACTCTGGAGGAAAAGACAAGTTCGAACCCACCTCCCGGCTTTCCAGGTTTGGAAACCATTCTACCCCTACTACTCAACGCGGTGAACGAAGGTAGACTCACTATGGACGACATCATCAACAAGTTCTACCACAACCCGAAGAAGATTTTCAACCTCCCGGACCAACCTAACACTTACGTGGAGGTGGACCTTGACGAAGAATGGGTGATTCCAGAAAGCACTGCTTACAGTAAAGCCAAATGGACCCCGTTTGCTGGAAGAAGGGTGAAAGGGGCCGTCCATAGAGTCGTACTCCGGGGTGAAGTGGCCTACGTAGATGGACAAATCCTAGTACAACCTGGCTTCGGACAGAACGTCCGGATCTGGGACGTCAAAAAACCCACTCCAATCCCGACCATCACCAACGGGTACTTCGACAAAATCGAGTACAACGACGGCCAAACTAACGAATTCTTCAAGAACTTGTCCGGCGGAAAAGTACACTTTTCGAGTACTCACGAACTCCACGTGGACAGTAGGTTAGAAACGGTTACCTCACCCACTCCTGGACGAATCCGAACTGATAGTTTCTCCGCTGTTGACCACCCCACCCACACCCTCATCGGCAAGCACATCCTCTCCGTCGACATGTTCACTAAAGAACAACTCAACGACATCTTCAACCTCGCTCAAGTCTTTCGAGTCACTTTTAGTAAAGACCGAGTGGTGGATCCTCACTGGACCGAACTCCTCAAAGGCAAAATCCTGTCGTCCGTCTTCTACGAAGTGAGTACTCGCACTACGTGCAGCTTCGCCGCTGCTATGCAGAGACTCGGAGGCGGCGTCATCTACATGGACCAAACTAGTTCGTCGGTCAAAAAAGGCGAGACTTTGGAGGACTCGGTCACGATTATGGCGGAGTATGGCGACGTGGTGGTACTCAGACACCCGGAAGTCGGTGCAGTTCAGGTAAAATTACACGCGTTGAGAGTTCAAAGTTTACAGTTGTTGTAGCGGGCGTCGCACCACTGCCGCAAACCCTTGATTAACGGCGGGGATGGAATCGGTGAGCACCCGAGTCAAGCGTTACTCGACATCTTCACCATCCGTGAAGAACTGGGTACCGTTAATAAAAAAACGATCACTTTGGTTGGTGATTTGAAGCACGGGCGTACCGTCCACTCTTTGGTACGACTTTTGACGCTCTATGACGTGCAGTTGCGCTACGTCAGTCCGCAGAGTTTGAAAATGCCGAGTCACATAACAAGCTACGTGGAAACTAAAGGGATTCCGCAGAATGAGTATAGTACTTTGGAGGAAGTACTACCGGATACGGACGTGCTGTACGTGACGCGGATCCAGCGCGAGCGGTTTGAGTCAGAGGATGACTATAACAAGGTACGTAGTAAGTACTTTGGGTGATTTGGACTAATCGAGACGTTGCAGGCTTGCGGGCACTTCGTCGTGACGCCGCATTTGATGCGCAAAGCTAAGAAGAAGATGGTAGTACTGCATCCATTGCCGAGGGTGTTCGAGATTAGTCCGGAATTGGATACTGATCCACGAGCCGCCTATTTCCGGCAAGCTAAAAACGGGATGTATGTGAGGATGGCGCTTTTGGCAATGGTACTAGGAAAATGCTAGAGTTTGTAAATAAAGTTTTATTAAAAGTATGTCAGTCTTATTGGGTGTAAGCTATGTCAAGAAGGTACTTCACACTATCACATGGGACGACGACGGTTCAGGTTCTTGCATTTTGTCGACGATTGTGGCTTCGTCGTCCCTCGCTCCGAGTCCCGGGATTTTCACTTTTAGTACCTTCTTTGGTTTTCTTTGTTGGTGGAGTTTGACGAGTTTCCTAAGAAAAAGTATATTTGTATTGACCTGATAACCAAGTGCACCATTTTTTAATTGATAAGATTATCAAATTCAGTGGGTACTTAAAGAGTAAAGACAATCATGTTGACAATTTTGAAATTGCATGCTCCAAATATTAGCAAATGTGTAGATAAATACATAGTTGTTTTTAAAGTAGTACTTACTGGTGCCTGCAGTCTATGAAAATGGCTACTACGAATAGTAGGGTGATTGTGAGGATCGCTGACACTACGAATATTACTATGGTTGCGATTTCGTTGGACTCGTTCGTTATTTCAGGGGCAAGGGTGGAGCGACTAGAGTCATCTGAAACAAAGACAGATAAAATAAATTAGTAGTTGGTAGCGCAACCAGTAATCATTACGTAATAAGCGGCAGTTGCTACGAAAACAAAAAGTGTCGCCATTCGCCAAGGTCTTTAAACTGGAACCTTGTATTTTATTATGATGCCACCAAACAACCAACTCAAATATTTGAATCGCTTTTGTCGTCACAATAAATATTAGCATACCTATACACAACGCGTTTTATTTCCGGTTTATTAACAAAACAATTATTTGATTGATTACGATTCTGAACCACTTATATTTAACACCTTAGGATGAAATAGCACTTTAATCAAGTGGAAATTTTCATCACCGTTAGTTATAGTGCCAAATTTTTAGCACCCAAGTGCTAACACGACCACTAAAGACCCCGATCTGGAAAATGTGACACTCGAATAGGGTTTGAACTAGTTTCAAAATGTTATCAAACTAGAGTCCGGGAAAATAAATAAAGTGACTCTAGTTACGTGATTTGCCCTATGCATTGTGATTCATATCTCGATACAGTTTTCAATTAGTTGAATTACTGATCTTTAATGAATTTTTATTGTATGACTTAATGTAATATCAGAAATGGTATTTGTCATCTAAAAATAGATAGGTACGTGTGTAGCATTAAGTGTAGACGGCGTGATTTACCATATTTTGAGAGCGATAAGGATACTTTTCGATTACATTCTTGCATTATAACGCGATTAAAATTTGAAGGTGTGCCAACTAATTACTAATAAAGCCAAATATTTGAGATGACGTCATCCGGTTTGTAAGCTGGGTGAATAAATCCGTTCAGCGTGTTCTGTAAGACCTAAACCAATGTTAGTGTTGGCACACATAATTCTGACCGGATGTTGGTACATTAGTGATTAATAGTAAATTGTTGCCAAAAATAAAGAGGAAACGGAAGTGGCAACGTGAAAATATGCAAGTTTGATCTACATTTTTGACTGGGATGCAATAAATGAAAAAAGATACTCCAATTATTTCGCATATCCCGGATTTTTGATGTGAAAAATTAAGTAGAGTTGTGTCGAAATAAGTCTACACATACTAGAAAAAAGAGACAAAATATAGCCCCGCCCACCCACCCTGTCTCAATTGTGATAATTTCTTTTATTCATCGTGAGTCAAGAAGGCGGAGCTTAACTGCAAAATCCTTATTTCTCTACCCATACCCGCCCCGATCTTAATTCTCAAGTGTGATGAATTTTTCATTCGTTATCAGATCGAGGGGCGGGGCTTAATTACAAAATCGATGTTTCCCTATACAAATTTACCATTTTAAACATGTTTTAAGTTTCTTGTTCTGAAAAGACGACTACGTATATTAAGAAAAAAGGCAAAATATGAGCCCCGCCCACCCACCCTATCTCAATTCTGATGATTTTTTTTAATCATCGAGAGCCAAAGGGAGGAAATTTAATTGCAAAATCGTTATCATTTCTCTACAAAAAATTACCACATAAGATATGTTTTTGAGTGCTATTCAAAGAATACTATGTATATTAAGAAAAAATTAAAGTCAAAAATTAGAACCAAAAATTAAGCCTCACCCATGCCTGTCCTGATCTAACTAGTAGTGAAGTTTTCATTCGTTGGCTTACCTAAGGGCGGAGCCTAATTGCAAAATCCATATTTCCTTACAAAAATGTACTATTTTAAAAGTGTTTTGAGTGTCTAAGAATAAAAAAATAATCACAATTGAGATGGGGTGGGGTTGATATTTTGCCTTTTTTCTTCTTACTATACATAGTATTCTTTGAACAATAATATACCCAAAAACATGTTGTTAATTTCTCGTAATGAAATAAGTATTTTTCAGTTAAGCTCCGCCCTCTTCGTTCACGGCGAATAAAATAAATCATCACAATTGAGACAGGGCGGGTGGGCGGGCTTTCATTTTGCTTTTTTGTTTTAATATGTATAGAGATCTTTTTATAATGAGAAACTTAAAACATGTTTAAAATGGAAAATTTGTATAAAGAAATATTGATTTTGCAATTAAGTTCCGCGTCATAATTACAAAATCCATATTTCCTTACAAGAATGTACCATTTTAACCATGTTCTAAGTTTCTTGCTGTGAAAAGATGGCTATGTATATTAAGAAAAAACGGCAAAATATAAGCCCCGCTCACCCACCCTATCTCAATTCTGATGATTTTTTTTTAATCGTCGAGAGCCAAAGGGGCGAAATTTAACTGCAAAATCGTTGTTATTTCTTTACAAGAAATTACCATGGAAGACATGTTTTTGAGTATTGTGTTATTCAAAGAATACTATGTACGTAGATTAAGAAAACATTAAAGCCAAAGATTAAGCCCCACCCAAACCTGTCCCGATCTAAACAGTAATGAAGTTTTCATTCGCTGGCAGACCTAGGGGCGGAGCCTAATTGCAAAATCCATATTTCGATACAAAAATTTACCATTTGTGTTTTGAGTGTGTAAGAATAAAAAAATAATCACAATAGGGATGGGGTGGGTGGGCGGGGTAGATATTTTGCCTTTTTTTCTTAATATACAAAGTATTCTTTGAACAATACGAAAATACAATGCTCAAAAACATGTTAATTTCTTGTAAGGAAATAAGTATTTTGCAGTTAAGCTCCGCCCTCTGGGTCCACGGCGAATAAAAAAAATCATCACAATTGAGACTGGGTGGGTGGGCGGGCCTAGATGTTGCCTTTTTGTTTTAATATGTGTAGACTTCTTTACACAACATGAAACTTAAAATGTGTTTAAAATGGAAAATTTGTATAAGGAAATATCGATTTTGTAATTAAGCTCGGCCTCATAACTGCAAAATTCATATTTCCTTGCAAAAATGTACCATGTTTTAAGTTTCTTGTTGTAAAAACACGGCTATGTATATTAAGAGAAAAAAGGCAAATATAAGCCCCACCCACCCACCCTGTCTCAATTCTGATGATTTTTTTTTTATTGGTCGTAAACCGTGGGGTAAAGCTTAACTGCAAAATGCTTATTTCTCTACGAAAAATTAAAAACATGTTTGTGAGTATCGTGTTGTTTAAGGAATACTGTATATATTAAGAAAAAAATAAAGCCAAAGATTAAGCCCCACCCACACCTGTCTTGATCTAAATAGTAATGAAGTTTTCATTCGTTGGCAAACCTAGGGGCGGAACCTAAATGCAATAATTGTAATATCCATATTTCATTACAAAAATTTACCATTTTAAAAACGTATAAAGTTTCTAAGGGGTGGGTGGGCGGGGTAAATATTTTGTTTTTTTTTTCCTTAATGTACATAATATTCTTTGAACAACACGATACTCAAAAACAGGTTTTTAATTCCTTGTAAAGAAATAAGTATTTTGCAGCTAAGCTCCGCCCCTTTGCTTAACGGCGAATAAGAAAATCATCACAATTGAGACAGGGTGGGTGGGCGGGCTTAGATTTTGTCCTTTTGTTTTAATATGTATAGACTTCTTTTCACAACATGAAACTTAAATCATTTTTAAAATGTAAAATTTGTATAAGGAAATATCGATTTTGCAATTAGATTCCGTCCCATAATTGCAAAATTCATATTTTCTTACAAAAATGTACCACTTTAACCATGTTTTAAGTTTCTTGTTGCGAAAAGAAGGATATCCATGTTGAGAAAAAAAGGCAAAATATAAGCCCCACCCAAAAGGCCTAGAATTTTTGGTAAATAACTAATCAGAAATTATTAATAGAAACATTTATTCAACTAGCAAGCGAAAAATAAATTTTCAAAAATTCCCATTTTTTTTAAATTTTAAAATGTACATTTATCTGAACGAAATAAAGAAAGTTAAAATCTTCTGGAGATTACAAATCTGAAATAATTTTTACGATATCTTGCCAAACAGACGAGAAATATGAGAAAAGGTTTTCCAGAAATGTGCAAAATTTGACTTTGAAAACGTTAAATGTGACTTCTGAAAATATTTATTGATATAGTATAAAGTATGAAATCGTGTGTGAAACTTCTGTTCCAACTATTGAGAAATGTGAGAAACCAACTTCCAAAATTTCGAAAAATTTTTTTTTGAAAAAAAAGTGCTAGCTTCTAGAGAATTCTCTTTAGATTACTATTGTGAAATCATTTTTCCAATACCTTATCAAGAAACATGAAAAACATTTTCCAAAAAATTCCAAAATTTATTTTTGATAACTTTAAATGTGGCTCTATTCTGCCGGAAAAAAGTGTTGGGCTACAGAGAATTTTTTCTAAACTGAAATTATTTTTGAAAAATTTATTTGGACTAGCGAGAAAAGTGAAAAACAAATTTTCAAAAATTCAATTTTTTTTTAATTTCAAAAGTGGACCATTTGAACGGAAAAAAATCGGGCTTCTAGAGAATTCCTTGTAGATTATACAAATCTGAAATTGTTTTTGCAATACCTCGTGAAACAGCCAAGAAATATGGAAAAACATTTTCAAAATTTACTTTTGAAAACGGTAAATGTGGCTCTATACTGTCGGTGGAAAGTGGCACTGTTGCATAGAGAATTTTTCACTTTTTATTCGTTTTTTACTAACATGAAATAATGTTTGAAACTTATGTTCGAAATATCGAAAAAAAAAAAAATTTTTTTAAAACGTTATAAGTCGATCTATTCTGCATGGTAATTTCTCGTAGAAAAATAAGGATTTTACAATAAAGCTCCGCCCCTCGGCTTACGACGAATAAAAAAAATCATCAGAATTGAGACAGGGTGGGTGGGCGGGGCTTATATTTTGCCTTTTTTTCTTGATATATGTAGCCATTTTTCACAAAAAGAAACTTAGAACATGGTTAAAAAAGGAAGCCAAAAGAGAAGCCCCACCCCTCCGTCTCGATCTCAACCGTGATGAATTTTTCATTCGTTGTCAGACCGAGGGGCGGAGCGTAATTGCAAAATCGATATTTCCCTATACAAATTTACCATTTTAAACATGAGTTTCTTGTTGTGAAAAGAAGACTACACATATTATGAAAAAAGGGCAAATTGTAAGTGCTTGTAGTGATAATACCTAATCTTTTTTTGAGACGAGTAGCAATAAATCTTGTTTATTTAAACTTTGAGAACTATCTTTAACAATGTAGAAAATGATGGCAGCTATTATAATATGAGGGTTTCGGTGAACAGGTGATTAAATGGAACTCATTATCTTTATCAAAACGGTAAGACCTATATTGCATACTTTTTAATACGACTATTTTAACTTGATTTATTAACTGATCGTTACATGTAACAATAAAAGAATGTGTAGTTTATAGCGTATTTATGGTTTATATAAAAGTGTATTATCGATTATCGGTAATAAATTAATTATAGATATTTCTCGTGTTTCTTGTTTGTATTTTGTGCATATAAATCCGCCCTTTAGAATTTTGGCCATTAGCAGTACTACTCATCGCAACTCAGAAAAACCAAATGAACGACGTTATTTACATTTCGCCGAAGTAATTATGCAAAGTGACTCACTGATAACAGCACCGATAAGGTACAAAAATTTTTGTAAATATCATAGTACCACGAATGTGACACTAAACATTTCCATTTTATTCCAGCTGATAGATCATTCTTTACAACTTATATAATAAAATCTAAATATAATATTTATATAAGTATGATTGTTATCGCTTAAATTTGCACCTAGATGTATTGTAATACTTTAAGTAGTCCACTTGTGTGTCAAAATGCGCAACAAACTGATCATGCACCTGCCAGTCAAAAATGTCATATTTTTTCTCCGATAAGACCGATAACGGCGCGATTACGATCTGTTACTAAACAGTTTAGACCCAAATGGGCGCATGGGTTTCATTGTACCAACAACTCGGGCCAATTTTTCGCACCGACCAGTTATACAATAATAGAAAGTAGGCCAGCTACTAGTTCCTCTTCTGCAAGTACCGAGTCAAACAAATGCACTAGATAAAAATCAACGATCAAAATCTGATAGCCACTTCTTATCACGTCTCGATTGAAAATTGGCGGCCGGTTTGGTCCCCAAACAAACACAAACACTCACCTGCCAACCACGAAATTTCGCCTTGTGCATCCATAACCAAGCTCCGTCTCTCGCACCAACAGCACGATTAATAACAATTCCACTCCTCTTTATCTCTTCTCGCACATGCTGATAAACATTCAACAGTTGTTGAACAAATCGAAAACATAACAGAAACAACGCGGTGTTCACAGGGGAGCGTCCGAAAGCAGAGTGGGGTTAGCTGGTACGATTGGTACGGAAAAAGCTTCAGATTTCCGCTCTCGCGCTACCTGAGACTGCAAGAGAAATGGTACCGCAAGGACGGCACAGCTGACGCAGGAGCTAGCTGGGATTTCTGTGATTAATTGCTTCCCGAAAATGCGAGGAGCAATTTTCCTTGAATCTTCCTATCAGTGTTATGATGAATGTGAGTTCGCTGGCCGGGAGTGTGGTTGGGGTACTCGGCCTTGATACTTCTCTAGCCAAGTAACACAAGATTAGATGGTGTCAATTATCACGAGTGCGGATTTGGTAAAAATTATCAGATGAGCGAGTGATTTAAAATGGATAAGATAATTTTGGCGTCTAATATTTATGTAAAATTTTTATTATGTAATAATAATTAATAACACACAGTCTTGTTATTTATGTGAAAGTACCGATCAACGCCAAGAAAGCATTGAAAATGCATAACAATGAGAAGAAAGTCAGTAGTGAAAACAATGCGTTTTCGTAATAATTGCACGTCTAGTGTAAAACAATCAAATTTAATCTCGACAAACAAAGCTTCACTTCTAACTTAAAAGACAAAATAATTCGCTAACACAAAAAAACAAACACTGCCGTCATCACGACAACAACATCCAAGGATTTTTTGTAACAAAAATTACCATAATATGGTAATATTGCAAAATTTTCCAAACCGTTCAATAACGACTTCTTTGAATTTACATTTCGTGTTAAACCTTGAGCAGCGTGATTTTAGAATGAAATTCAGTACCACAGTGATAATAACCACCGACCGCTGACACTCGAAACATGACGGATGCTCCAGTGTTGCTATTATAGTATTAACAAATGGAAAAACATGGACTTAAAAAGACGAATTGCTACATTAATCAAACGTCGAGAAACTGTGATCCGATTTCTGAGTGGCTTAATCCGCCTGATTTCTTAAAAATGTGCATCAAAATATCCACACAATCTAGTATTTCGTTGTTTCGTCGAAGGATTTGTGACTGCTAATCGCAACCAGATAAAATTACACCGGAGCGTACTGGTTAGAAATTTCCCGGAGGAGGTGCTGCTATTTTTACTTCGACAATACCAGCACATAAATCATGCACGTGTTGAACTAATCTCAATTGCTGGTAATTGGTCTCTTGCTACATTCAACACACGCTCGCTTCTGCAAAAATTTGTTCGATAATTTTTGATGACGTTATCAAGGTTTAGCAGTGACGGATTGAGGACAATGGATCCATGGGGATGACGCTACCAAGAAAAACCAAGCTAGAAAAAAAAGTGTGGAAGGTTCTTTAAATTCCGAAAAGAATAAAAAAAATCGGGACGGCAGACAGACGCACAGACAGACAGACGGAACGGGAGATACATTTCTTCGTACTCTAGGGGTCATGGAAGGTCGAGAAGTAGAGAGTCGGCCGACGGACTTGATTACAATACTTCCTTCGCTTACGCTTGGTAAGTAAAAATAATGTCTTATAGATTTTACGAAGAATTAGACCATCGTACAGAGCAATGAATGATATTCTCGTCAAATTTAGGGTTGTTCAACCCAAAGGTCGATTCATCACAATTGAGCTTGGGATGGATATGGGTGGGGCTTATTTCTTGTAGAGCATAAACTATTTTGCAATTAAGCTCCTCCCCCTGGCTCACGACGAATAAAAAAAATCATCACAATTGAGATAGTGGGCGGGGTTATATTTTGCCTTTTTGCTTGAATATGTGCAGATTTCATTTCCCAACATGAAACTTAATACATGTTTAAAATGGAAAATTTGTATACGGAAATATCGATTTTGCAATTAGACTCCGCCCCATAATTGCAAAATCCATATTTCCTTGCAAAAACCATTTTAACCATGTTTTAAGTTTCTTGTTATGAAAAGATGGCTGTGTATATTAAGAAAAAAGAGACAAAATATAAGCCCCGCCCACCCACCCTATCTTAATTCTGATCATTTTTTTTATTCGTCGTAAACCGTGGGATAAAGCTTAACTGCAAAATCTTTATTTCTCTACGAGAAATTAAAAACATGTTTGTGAGTCTCGTGTTGTTCAAAGAATACTATGTATATTAAGAAAAAAAAATAAGGCCAAAGATTAAGCCCCACCCACACCTGTCTTGATCTAAATAGTTATGTAGTTTTCATTCGTTGACAAACCTAGGGGCGGAACCTAATTGCAATAATTGTATTATCCATATTTCATTACAAACATTTACCATTTTTAAAATGTTTTAAATTTCTAAGATTAAAAAATCATCACAATTTGGATGGGGTGGGTGGGCGGGGTTTATATTTTGCCTTTTTTTCTTATGTATTCTTTGAACAACACGATACTCAAAAACATGTTTTTAATTTCTTGTAAAGAAGTAAGTATTTTGCAGTTAAGCTTCGCCCTCTTGGTTAACGGCGAATAAAAAAAATCATCACAATTGAGACAGGGTGGGTGGGCGGGCTTAGATTTTGTCCTTTTGTTTGAATATGTCTAGACGTTTTTTGACAATATGAAACTTAATACATGTTTAAAATGGAAAATTTGTATAAGAAAATATCAATTTTGCAAAAATATACCATTTTAACCATGTTCTAAGTTTCTTTTTGTGAAAAATGGCTACGTATATCAAGAAAAAAAAGGCAAAATATAAGCCCCGCCCACCCACCCTGTCTCAATTCTGATGAATTTTTTTTATTCGTCGTAAGCCGAGGGGTGGAGCTTTATTGTAAAATCCTTAGTTTTCTTCGAGAAATTACCATGTGGAATAGATCGACAATTTTTTGAAAATTTTTGGAAATGTTTTTTTCGATATTTCAAACATTATTTCATGTTAGTAAAAAACGAATAAAAAGGGAAAAATTCTCTATGCAACACTAGCACTTTCCACCGACAGAATGGAGCCACATTTACCGTTTTCAAAAGTAAATTTTGAAAATGTTTTTCCATATTTCTTGGCTGTTTCACGAGGTATTGCAAAAACAATCTCAGATTTGTATAATCTACAAGGAATTCTTTAGAAGCTAGATTTTTTTCCGTTCAAATGGCACAGTTTTGAAATTTTCAAAAAAAAATTGAATTTTTGAAAATTTGTTTTTCACTTTTCTTGCTGGTCCAAATAAATTTTTCAAAAATAATTTCAGTTTAGAAAAAAATCTCTGTAGCCCAACACTTTTTTCCGGCAGAATAGAGCCACATTTAAAGTTTCCAAAAATAAATTTTGGAATTTTTTGGAAAATGTTTTTCATGTTTCTCGATAAGGTATTGAAAAATGATTTCACATTAGTAATCTAAAGAGAATTCTCTAGAAGCTAGCACTTTTTTTTTCAAAAAAAATTTTCGGAATTTTGGATGTTTGTTTCTCACATTTCCCAATAGTTCGAACAGAAGTTTCACACACGATTTCATACTTTATACAATATCAATAAATATTTTCAGAAGTCACATTTAACGTTTTCAAAATCAAATTTTGCACATTTCTGGAAAACCTTTTCTCATATTTCTCGTCTTTTTGGCAAGGTATCGTAAAAATTGTTTCAGATTTGTAATCTCCAGAAGATTTTTTCTTTTTTTTGTTCAGTTAAATGTACATTTTAAAATAAAAAAAATGGAAATTTTTGAAAATTTATTTTTCGCTTGCTACTTGAATACATGTTTCTATAAATTATTTCTGATTAGTTATTTAGCAAAAATTCTAGCCCTTTTGGGTAGGGCTTATATTTTATCTTTTTTTCTTAATATAGATATCCATCTTTTCGCAACAAGAAACTTAAAACATGGTTAAAATGGTTTTTGCAAGGAAATATGTATTTTGCAATTATGGGGCGGAGTCTAATTGCAAAATCGATATTTCCTTATACAAATTTTCCATTTGAAAAATGATTTAAGTTTCATGTTGTGAAAAGAAGTCTACACATATTAAAACAAAAGGGCAAAATCTAAGCCCACCCACCCACCCTGTCTCAATTGTGATGATTTTTTTTATTCGCTGTGAACCAAGGGGGCGGAGCTTAACTGCAAAATACTTATTTCTTTACAAGAAATTAAAAACATGTTCTTGAATATCGTGTTGTTCAAAGAATACTATGTATAATAAGAAAAAAAATCAAAATATAAACCCCGCCCACCCACCCCATCTAAATTGTGATGATTTTTTTGTTTTTAGAAACTTAAATACTTTTAAAATAGTAAATTTTTGTAATGAAATATGGATATTGCAATTATTGCGATTAGGTTCCGCCCCTAGGTTTGCCAACAAATGAAAACTTCATTACTATTTAGATCAAGACAGGTGTGGGTGGGGCTTAATCTTTAGCTTTAATTTTTTCTTAAAATACATGGTATTCTTTGAACGACACGCTACACAAAAACATGTTTTTAATTTCTAAGAAATAAGGATTTTGCAGTTAACCTCTACCTCACGGTTAACGATGAATAAAAAAATATATCAGAATTGAGATAGGGTGGGTGGGCGGGGCTTATATTTTGTCTTTTTTTCGTAATATACGCAGCCATCTTTTCATAACAAGGAACTTAAAACATGGTTAAAATGGTTTTTGCAAGGAAATATGGATTTTGCAATTATGGGGCGGAGTCTAATTGCAAAATCGATATTTCCTTATACAAATTTTCCATTTTAAAAATGATTTAAGATTCATGTTGTGAAAAGAAGTCTATACATATTAAAACAAAAGGGCAAAATCTACGCCCGCCCACCCACCCAGTCTCAATTGTGATGATTTTTTTATTCACTGTGAACCAAGAGGGCGGAGCTTAACTGCAAAATACTTATTTCTTTACAAGAAATTAAAAACATGTTTTTGAGTATCGTATTGTTCAAAGAATACTATGTAAAATAAGAGAAAAAGGCAAAATATTTACCCCGCCCACCCACCCCATCTCAGTTGTGATGATTTTTTTTTATTCTTAGAATCCTAAAACGCATGTAAAATGGTAAATTTTTGTACGGAAATGTGGATTTTGCAATTAGGCTCCACCCCTACGTCTGCCAACGAATGAGAACTCAAAAACGGCTAGAATTCTTGGTAAATAACTAATCAGAAATTATTTATAGAAGCATGTTTTCAACTAGAAAATGAAAAATACATTTTCAAAATTTCCCATTTTTTTTATTTTAAAAATGTTTCTAATTGAACGAAAAAATAATTCTGGAGATACAAATCTGAAATCATTTTTACGATACCTGAGAGACGAGATATATGAGAAAAGATTTTCCAAAAATCTCCAAAATTTGATTTTGAAAACGTTAAATGTGACTTCTGTGGGAAAAAATATTTATTATTAAAATCGATATTCCCTTATACAAATTTTCCATTTTAAACATGTTTTAAATTCCATGTTATGAAAAGAAGTCTGCACATATTAAGAAAATAAAAGGCAAAATGAAGGCCCGCCCACCCACCCTGTCGCAATTGTGATGAACTTTTTTATTCGCCATGTACAAAGAGGGCGGAGCTTAACTGCACAATACTTATTTCTGTACAAGAAATTAAAAACATGAGTATCGTGTTGTTCAATGAATTCTATGTACATTAAGAAAAAAAAGCAATATATTAACCCCGCCCACCCACCTTATCTCAACTGTGATGATTTTTTTTATTCTTAGGAACTGAAAACACATTTAAAATGGTAAATTTTTGTAAAGAAGTATGGATTTTGCAATTAAATTTCGCTCCTTTGGCTCTCGACGATTACAGAAAAAATCATAACAATTGAGATAGGGCGGGTGGGCGGGGCTTATATTTTTCTTTTTTCTTAATATACGTAGACTTATTTCTAACAAGAAACTTAAAACATGTCTAAAATGGTAAATTTTTGTAGTAATCAACTTAAATCCTCCACTTTTCTTCTACAACCCCTTTAAAGATGGACAAAGTTACTATTAACGACAATTTGGCAACGGAGTTTGTAAATGATAATTTTCAGCTCTACAAGCAACGTCAAACAAAAAGGCAAAATATAAGCCCACCCACCCATCCTGGCTCAATTGTGATGATTGTTTTTTATTAGCCGTTAATCAAGGGGGCGGAGCTTAACTGAAAAAGTACTTATTTCTTTACAAGAAATTAAAAACACGTTTTCGAGTGTCGTTGTTGTTAAAAGAATACCATATATGTGCTAAGAAAATGTGAGAAAATCTTGGGAAAATATGCAAAACATTTTTTTTTTGGGGTTAAAGGTCTATCTTTTTAGGGGAAAAAGTACCTAGATTCTAGAGAATTCTCTGTAGATTAATTTGAAATCCTTTTTGCGATACCTTGTCGAACAGAATAATAAGAAAAAACGGCAAGATATATCTCAATTGTGATGATTTTTTTTAATTCTTAGAAACTTAGGACACTTAAAATGGTAAATTTTTGTAATGAAATATGGATTTTGCACTAGGCTCCGCCCCTAGGTCTACCAACGAATGAAACCTTTATTACTATTTAGATCAAGGCAGATATGGGTGGGGCTTAATCTTTGACTTTAAATTTTTCTTAATGTACATAGTATCTTTTGAATAACACGATACTCAGAAAAATGTCTTACATTGTAATTTCATTTAGAGAAATAATAAGAATTTTGCATTTAAATTCCGTTCCTTTGGCTCTCGACGATTAAAAAAAATTATCACAATTGAGATAGGGTGGGTGGGCGGGGCTACATATTGCTTTTTTTTTCTTAATATGTGCAGACTTATTTCGACAACAAGAGACTGAAAACATGCCTAAAATGGTAAATTTTTTTAGTAATCAAGTCAAATCCGACACTGCAGACTCTTAATCAAGAAGTGTGTTTTAACAATCGCGTCAAACTCGGTTTATCTGCGTCACTTGACTGAAACACAACAGACTTATCACAAACGTACGTGTTCTAGATTCATCACGTTTCAAGAATATAATCCATCATAATCTGTATTATTGTTCGCCTCTCAAAAATGGGTGGAAGTCCGGTATATTAATCTGTCATTCGTGTGTTGATGGTGACAGGATGTTCGCAATAACTTCCTCCGTTGATTTTTTTTTTTATAAAATAAACACTTTTCGAGAGATAATATTTATTAAAAAAGTAATTACATACATATCAAAAAGTATTTAATTTTAGTGTGGTTAGAAAAATAAGTAAATAAATTAATCTAGAATTTCTGGAAAATGCTTTAAACATAAAAAATTGACTAGATTTCGGCGTTTTTTCCACGCCTCTTATCTATACCCTTTATAGTACCTATAACATTTATAGGCATCATAACCATGAACGATTCCTACCAAGCCGCCGACCATCTGCAACAAACACAATAAACGTAAATAAAAAGCGCACTTGAAAGTTTTAACCTTCGCAAAGTTTATAAAATACCAAAGGTAACTAGCAGTGTACTATTTGAAATAGGTGCAATAATCACGTGTTATCCGCCATTGTACGTGACGAAAAACTATAGTGGCGGATATTGCGAAATCAGCGTCGGATAAATCTAGATTATCTCACTAATATCTGAACATTTTTTCTTTATTACTTACGTATGCGGCACTCATGGCGGGATAAGCCTGAAAATAAGGAGTCACCAAGTACTTTGGTTTGAGAAAGATGTAAACAACGTATCCTAACCACGAACACGAAGACAAATAGCTGAAAGAAGCCACGCTATTAAAAACGGTTTCCTGAAACACCATTTTCAGAAATTTTCACACTTTTTCAGACCCGTACTCACGAAAAGCGACTGCCGCACCAAACTGCACGTTTTTTCGGAAATAACATAACAGAATAAAAGTAGGGACGTGGTCATTATGCACCAGGCCACTGCTGTCAAGAACGACTGGAACGAAGCCCCCATGTCGTTTGAATAACCCATCCCATAATTAAGGGCCAGGCTTTGGCAAAACGACCCAAGCAGCTGAAAAAACCCATCAAACAATGAACCATACTAAATAATAAACTTACCACTTGCACGATTTTCAGTAAACCGGGTTCGTTTTTCAGGAATTGTAAATTCAAGCAGGTGCAGCACTTGCAACAACAACAATTAATTCCTCCTGACTTATTCACGGGTCGAACTGTAATTATCGTGGGGCCTCTGGATGGAATCATTTTGATGAGAATGACAAAGTTAATTCATAAAACTGTGTTTACGAAGCGACGTCTCAATGTATTTTAAAAACGAGAGCAATGTGCTCGGTTTGGGGTGGATCCGTCTATTTTTGGTTTTCCGGATATTTTTATAATTACGGCATCGTTTAAAGCGGCAATGAGGACAGCGGGTTAATGAAGATGCGCTGCTAACATTTTTTAAACAATTTTGGGTGTTTTTAAATCCGTAATCTTTTGATCTGAACTTGAGTATTTCAATTATTTTATTTAGTCAGGAAGTAAGTGAGGTAAAATGTATTACAATTTGTTTATAAAGATAAAGAACGGAAGTTTGACTTTACGGAAAGGAAATAAATCAGACACTTTAGATATGACAGGATATGTAGAACATTAGGTAGCTAGTCTTTGTCTCGATAAGAAAATAACATTGTCAGATTCCATAGTCCAGCACACGTTTCAATAATGTTTAAAATCTGACGACAGTGCAGCTACATATTTAGAGAGCAAATTATACTATCTGAAAACAACATTATTTCGAGTACATTCTATTTAAAACCCTTTGTAAAGGTACTTGTTATTTATTTAAAACATAAACTCGAAAAAGATTACTAACAATATTGAGTGTAATATTAAGTTTTAGGGAGCGCGCGCCACCTATAAACTGAAGCGCGAAGCTAGGAATTTGTAATACAGGTTTTTTGTAGTTGTCTAATTGGTATGACTGGTTTGAAACAGCTGTTTTATCAGTTTATCTTTAATCGGGGTAAATAAAAAATGTTATTTATTTATATTTCTTAATTTAGCATTTTTAGTTGCTTGTTGCCCACATTTATGACACAGGAACCGCGCATTTTAATCATATTTCATAAATCTTCCAAAGTGAGGTTATGTGTGAATGTTTGAATCCAGTTAATCTCTTTGTTTTATTGCCCAAATTTGGTACATATTTTGCAGAATTCAGTAGTATGCGATATTAACATGCGCCATTCTTTTTGTTTTCTTATTGACGTAGCTAATTTTGAAAACGTCAATCGAGATCAGTTTGGTTAAATTAAAAAGTACTAGATTTCAAGTTAAAATGTCAAGCTTTTTTTATTTTATGTTTCCTGAAAAATTGTTCCGATGGGGTGTTTTAGGTAATTGTAGATAATTTTCCGCTAATTACGATTCTTAAATCGCCGTCACAATAGCTGGTCCAATAAAGGCGAAATGTGAGTTCAAAATTTCCAAAAATTTTCCAAAAAAGTGATTATAATTGGTTCAATCGACCAAAAATTGGTGTCAAATTGTGGATAATCTTCCGCTTGTTACGATTCTGAAATTGCCGCCACGATAGCTGGTCCAATAAAGACGAAAAGTAAGTTCAAAATTTTCAAAAATTTTCCAAAAAAGTGGTTAAAATTGGTTCAATCGTCCAAAAATTGGTGTCAAATTGTAGATAATCTTCCGCTAGTTACCATTCTGAAATTGCCGCCACGATAGCTGGTCCAATAAAGACGAAAAGTGATTTCAAAATTTCCAAAAATTTTCCAAAAAAGTTGTTAAAATTGGTTCAATCGACCAAAAATTGGTGTCTAATTGTAGATAATCTTCCGCCAGTAACGATTCTGAAACCACCGCCGCGGTATCTGGTCTAATTAAGGCGCAAAATGAAATCAAAATTTCCAAAAAAGTGGTTAAAATTGGTTCAATCGACCAAAAATTGGGGTCAAATTGTAGATAATTTTCCGCTAGTAACGATTCTGAAACCGGCGCCGTGGTATCTGGTCTAATAAAGGCGCAAAATGAAATCAAAATATCCAAAAAATTTCCAAAAAAGTGGTTAAAATTGGTTCAATCGACCGAAAATTGGTGTCAAATTTTAGATAATCTTCCGCTAGTTACGATTATGATATCGCCGCCACGATAGCTGGTCCAATAAAGACGAAAAGTCAGTTCAAAATTTTCATAAATTTTCCAAAAAAGTGGTTAAAATTGGTTCAATCGACCGAAAATTGGTGTCAAATTGTAGATAATCTTCCGCTAGTTACGATTCTGAAATCGCCGCCACGATAGCTGGTCCAATAAAGACGAAAAGTGAGTTCAAAATTTCCAAAAATTTTCCAAAAAAGTGGTTAAAATTGATTCAATCCACCGAAAATTGCGATCAAATTGTAGATAATCTTCCTCTTGTTACGATTCTGAAACCGCCGCCGCGGTATCTGGTCTAATAAAGGCGCAAAATGAATTCAAAATTTCCAAAAATTTTCCAAAAAAGTGGTTAAAATTGGTTCAATCGACCAGAAATTCGTGTCAAATTGTAGATAATCTTCCGCTTGTTACGATTCTGAAATCGCCGCCACGATAGCTGGTCCAATAAAGACGAAAAGTGAGTTCAAAATTTCCAAAAATTTTCCAAAAAAGTGGTTAAAATTGGTTCAATCGACCCAAAATTGGTGTCAAATTGTAGATAATCTTCCGCCAGTAACGATTCTGAAACCACCGCCGCGGTATCTGGTCTAATTAAGGCGCAAAATGAAATCAAAATTTCCAAAAAAGTGGTTAAAATTGGTTCAATCGACCAAAAATTGGTGTCCAATTGTAGATAATCTTCCGCTAGTTACGATTCTAAAATCGCCACCACAATAGCTGGTCCAATAAAGACGAAAAGTGAGTTCAAAATTTCCAAAAATTTTCCAAAAAAGTGGTTAAAATTAGTTCAATCGACAGAAAATTGGTGTCAAATTGTAGATAATCTTCCGCTAGTTACGATTCTGAAATCGCCGTCGCAATACCTGGTCCAATAAAGACGAAAAGTGAATTCGAAATTTCCAAAAATTTTCCAAAAAAGTGGTTAAAATTAGTTCAATCGACCGAAAATTGGTGTCAAATTGTAGATAATCTTCCGCTAGTTACGATTCTGAAATCGCCGTCGCAATACCTGGTCCAATAAAGACGAAAAGTGAATTCGAAATTTCCAAAAAAGTGGTTAAAATTGGTTCAGTCAACCAAAAATTGGGGTCAAATTGTAGATAATTTTCCGCTAGTTACGATTCTGAAATCGCCGCCGCGGTATCTGGTCTAATAAAGGCGCAAAATGAATTCAAAATTTCCAAAAATTTTTCAAAAAAGGGGTTAAAATTGGTTCAATCGACCAAAAATTGGTGTCAAATTGTTGATAATCTTCCGCTTGTTACGATTCTGATATCGACGTCACGATACCTGATCTAAGAAACGCGAAAAGTGAATCCAAAATTTCCAAAAATTTTCCAAAAAAGTGGTTAAAATTGGTTTAATCGACCGAAAATTGGCGTCAAATTGTAGATAGTCTTCCGCTAGTTACCATTCTGAAATAGCCGCCACGATAGCTGGTCCAATAAAGACGAAAAGTGAATTCAAAATTTCCAAAAATTTTCCAAAAAAGTGGTTAAAATTGGTTCAATCGACCGAACATTGGTGTCAAATTGTATATAATCTTCCGCTTGTTACGATTCTCAAACCACCGCCGCGGTATCTGGTCTAATAAAGGCACAAAATGAATTCAAAATTTCCAAAAATTTTCCAAAAAAGTGGATAAAACTGGTTCAATCAACCGAAAATTGGTATCAAATTGTAGATAAACTTCCGCTAGTAACGATTCTGAAACCGCCGCCGCGATACCTGGTCCAATAAAGACGAAAAGTGAGTTCAAAATTTCCAAAAATTTTCCAAAAAAGTGGTTAAAATTGGTACAATTGACCGAAAATTGGTGTCAAATTGTAGAAAATCTTCCGCTTGTTACGATTCTGAAACCGCCGCCGCGGTATCTAGCCTAATAACGACGCAAAATGAATTCAAAATTTCCAAAAATTTTCCAAAAAAGTGGTTAAAATTGGTTTAATCGCCCGAAAATTGGTGTCAAATTGTGGATAATCTTCCGCTAGTTACGGTTCTGAAATCGCCGTCACGATACCTGGTCCAATAAAGACGAAAATTGAGTTCAAAATTCCCAAAAATTTTCCAAAAAAGTGGTTAAAATTGTTTCAATCGACCGAAAATTGGTGTCAATTGTAGATAATCTTCCGCTAGTTACGATTCTGAAATCGCCACCGCGATATCTGGTCTAATAAAGGCGCAAAATGAATTCAAAATTTCCAAAAATTTTCCAAAAAAGTGGTTAAAATTGGTTCAATCGACCGAAAATTGGTGTAAAATGGTAGGTAATCTTCCGCTAGTTGCGATTCTGAAATCGCCGTCACGATACCTGGTGCAATAAAGACGAAAAGTGAATTCAAAATTTCCAAAAATGTTCCAAAAAAGTCGTTAAATTTGGTACAATCGCCCGAAAATTGGTGTCAAATTGTAGATAATCCTCCGCTAGTTACGATTCTAAAATCGCCGCCACGATAGCTGATCCAACAAAGACGAAAAGTGAGTTCAAAATTTCCAAAAATTTTCCAAAAAAGTGGTTAAAATTGGTTCAATCGACCGAAAATTGGTGTCAAATTGTAGATAATCTTCTGCAAGTTACGATTCTGAAATCGCCGCCACAATAGCTGGTCCAATAAAGGCGAAATGTGAGTTCAAAATTTCCAAAAATTTTCCAAAAAAGTGGTTAAAATTGGTACAATTGACCGAAAATTGGTGTCAAATTGTAGATAATCTTCCGCTAGTTACGATTCTGAAACCGCCGCCGCGGTATCTGGTCTAATAAAGGCGCAAAATGAATTCAAAATTTCCAAAAATTTTCCAAAAAAGTGGTTAAAATTGCTTCAATCCACCAAAAATTGGGGTCAAGTTGTAGATAATCTTCCGCTAGTAACGATTCTGAAACCGGCGCCGCGGTATCTGGTCTAATAAAGGCGCAAAATGAATTCAAAATTTCCAAAAATTTTCCAAAAAAGTGGTTAAAATTGGTTCAATCGACCGAAAATTGGTGTCAAATTGTAGATAATCTTCCGCTAGTTACGATTCTGAAATCGCCGCCACAATAGCTGGTCCAATAGAGGCGAAATGTAAGTTCAGAATTTCCAAAAATTTTCCAAAAAAGTGGTTAAAATTGGTTCAATCCACCGAAAATTGGTGTCAAATTGTAGATAATCTTCTGCTAGTTACGATTCTGAAATCGCCGTCATGATACCTGGTCCAATAAAGACGAAAAGTGAATTCAAAATTTCCAAAAATTTTCCAAAAAAGTG